AAGATTTTAAGCACAACCGCAAAATTTATGATAGGATGGAAGTGTATAAAACACCTGATGTTCATTACGTCAAAGAATTTAAAAAAATCTTTCGTTTTCCAGCTGAATCATTTCCAAAATGCCAGGAACAAAAATTACAGATGAAGATCGAAAGACGATTGGTCGAAAATTTATTTGTACGAGCTGTAATTTACTACTCTCCGCTCCAATGCAAACTCATTGTGGTCACTTGATGTGTTCCTCGTGTGTTGACACAATGCTAGAGTATGTTATTCTTTATTTCTTATGACTTTATGTCCTAGCAAAGCATATTCCATATTTTAAGCTTACCAAATTATTAGGTCAAACTGCATTTCCTGTAATCCATTTTTGTGCGTGAGCCGTTCCTAAATAGAATTTAAAAACTTTTTACTTGAAAAAAAGACCGTTTTCCGGCAAATCGTTTGTGCAGGATGTGTTCGAATCATTCAGACTACCTAGAAGACATTTACGAAGTGTTTAAAATTTTTGATACACCCTGCAGTGTTAGTGAATCAGGGGGGGGCACAAGAATGATAATTGGGGGGGGCAGATATTTATATATATTCTTGTTCACATTCAGTAAATCTAAATAATGCAGGACACGAATATATAAATATTGCCACCCCCCCCCCAATTATCTCTCTTGGATGAATGATGGTAATTATACTAATTCTCTTCACTTGGCATAAAGTCTTTTGTCTCTTTTACCAGATATTATGTAAGATTTTCAGTATTCGAAGACTAGTATTTTTCTGGTAAATTTCGGAGCTTTTCTCGATCCGGGCCAATGTAATAAACAATTATTGGATGAGGTTTTTGTGATATGCAGAGTTATCAAGGTCGAGGTAGCGTAAGGCGAGGCTGATAACGCTTACCGAGATCTTGATAACTCTGCATGTTACAAAAACCGAATTCAATAATTGTTTTATTATACATTTGAAGAGTAGTAAACATAGTATTAACGAATGAAAAACCTTATTTAATAGCAACATCCAAAAATACATCAATTATTAATACATAAATACATTCAAATGAATACCGCTTGTTAACCACCGCAGGCTCACTTGCAGATAACTCAGTTATCTGCTAGCAGATAACTGAATTTTGCGTGATTGCGCAATTTATCTGTCAACTACTAATGAAAATAATGAAAATTATATTACTATCCAGGAGTTCAGACCCAAGATGTCCTGATGATGGTTCAGAACTAAAAAAGGAACAGGTAGGGTATTTTTTCGATCACCACAAAAAGGTTTTTGTACCCTAACTAGTACGTAAGCGCCTGTTACCAACCAATAATAACTCGTTTCGTTATATAGGTGCTGTGTATTTTAAATGTGATTGGTTCATTTGTAGTCACATGACTTTAAATAAATGCAATGTTTCCCGCCAGGGAAACAAGTGAAAAATTGTTGCCCGCATATTGTCATAACAAAGTGTTTTCTGTAATGAAATTGTTGTGTAACATGTATGTTTTTCGTCTCGGGAAACATTCAGACTCTTGGGAAAACAAAATTCACTATTTCCCTCGGGAGCATACATAAGTGTATAATGTTTCAAGGTCATAGAAAGTTTCATAGTTTTTTGATTTTATCTCAGGTATTTCCTGATACGTTCACTAGACGTGAACTACGAGCATTGTCATTACATTGTTCCAACGAAGGCTGTCTTTGGTACGGCACATATGATGATTTAGAGGTAAGCTTGTGAAGATATGATAGGGGAACAATGAGCAAATGGCGGAACATGATAGAAGAGCATGAGGGGATGGAATTAGATGATCAACATTAAAGAAATTCATGCAATTGCAAAAAAGGGAAAATATTTCTTCAACACCATCTTTTGGCAGGTTTTAAAGTTAACAGTTTATGATGCGATAATTTTTTTTTGATACAGGCTCATTCCCAGGTGTGTGATCATACTCAGATAAACTGTGTTCATTCTAAATGCAAGATGAAGTTCAAACGCTCTCATTTGGGTGAACATTTGAAAAGCGAATGTGACTATCGCAGTGTGAAGTGTAAATATTGCCACAAAGACATATCATTTGCTTCTCTTAAGGTAAAATTGAACGTTTCGTTTGCACGGAACTAGTTTCTCTCTACGTGAAATAAGCAAGTGATTCGTTTAGGATCATGTTGGTACAAGCTGTGAAGGTGCACCTGTGACTTGCAAGTTCTGTGAGCAAAACGTTTTGAGAAGAGACCTCGAAAGACACGAGCAAGTTGTGTGTGAAGAGATTCCTGGGGAATGCGAATTCCAGGCCGTCGGTTGTAATCACGACAATGTAAGAATTTGCTGTAGGATATTCGTAGGACAATGAATAGTGCATGCATGTGAAATTTGAGCCAACAGAGGTAAAAATAGTATAAATGAAATTATATTATGGTTTTTGGCACTTCACTCGATGCAGGTAAATTCTAGAGGTTTAGGGTCTTAATATCGAGTGGAATTATACACACTTTAAATTCAAGCCAGGAACAGTTGATGGGAAAAGGAGTCAATTATAGGTCCTCCGGCAGGAATCGAACCTACGCTTTTGCGATACCGGTGCAATGCCGGTGGCAAGAGCAAGACCATTTAGACCTCTAAATGAAATTATAGTCTGGGTTTCTTCCTGTAATAACACTGGATCAAAAGGTTACTTCGATTCAAACAGCCGTCAAGTATAAATACAGTTAGTGTAGGTTCTATCCAGTATAATAACAGAGGATCAAAAAGTATTGACCTAATTTAATATATGATTTGTAGACTTTAAAACGAAGGGAACTACGCCAACATATGAATGATGGTTTGATTGATCATGTCCGTCTGTTGCTTCAGTTTTCTCTTAACTGGGTACCTCAATTGGGGAGCTATATCCCACGACCAGAGTTCGCCGAAATCATCAAAAAGATGCGCGATGATATTACCGAAGTTCGCTCAGGCTTAGCCGAAAAATTCGTCATGTTGGTCGGGAAATTAACTGGGTTGGAGAGACAGATTGAAGGTTTGGAATCCAATGCAGGAGGCAATGCGAGAATGGGTGAAGAAATCCGTAAACTGTTGGCGAAAGATCAAAACCTTACCACTGACATCAATAGTTTACGGGAACGAGTTCAAAGTTTGGAGCGAGAATTGAGAGAGAAAGATTCACAACTTGAAAGAGTGCGAAACCGAACGGATCAAATTGATGAATCTGTTGCTCTTAATTCAGTAAAAATTACCGATTTGGAGGCCCAAAGAAGACCTCGGGCTCAGCAAGATCCATAGCTACTGGTTTGAATAGCCAACAACATTCCATCATTATAATCAAATTAATTTTGATGTAATATATCTAGTTAATAAGTTTATAAAAGATACTACTCGGTGAGTGACTGCTAATCAGTTAAGCGTCAGGAGAAGTGCGAGACAGAACGAACAGTTGATTTGGAAATAGTTGTAGTAGACAAAGTTCTACGGGGATCCACCCTTCAGGTACTGAAATTTATCTGTTTGCATGTATGTTTGTAGTTTGATTAGTGTTTATGTTTAAGTTTAGTTTGATTCATCGTATGAACTAAGAAAATGATTGGAATGCATGTATCTTTACACCTTTTACTTATATAGTTAAACTTAATCTTTTCTATAGAATATATTATCAATAAATATTAAAGAAATTCCCGTTCGACTTGCGTTTAAAGTAGCAGTGCCAAACAGCTACAATGGTACTCTGCTTTAAAAGATCGAAGGCTAACTTCAAAATCAAAATATAACTTTGATTTTGAACATCACCAACAACGTTACACAACCTAACCTTTTTCTCTAGTTGGTTTAATTCAGACAATTGTTACAAATTAACCTATAACTATATAAGAACTACAATATGGTTCCAATTACCTGTATCAAAATATAAAATAAACATCATAACCGCCCATTTAATGTTGTCTTTTATTAAGAATTACTGTAACAAAGTAAATGTTTGCAATTTACAACACGCACCGTTATAAAGGAAGCAAGAATGAATCATTGAAATTGCCGGATTGAAGCTTATTATAATCATAATGTACGTACAGACTCGAGTTTACTCGATGGTCGATAGCATTGACATTTGACAGCGAATGACATTGCAACGTTTATATGAATATTTCGAAGTCCTGGCAGCATAATTAATCTCCCATAGCTTATTTCAAGCAAAATAATTGACTAGCGACGTCGAAAAAGGTCAGCTAACCGCGTCGTAGATCGTAAACTAACTTCAATACAGAAAGTGGGAACAAAAAGTCCCACCTTTAGCTAAAATAAAACGTTTTCTTCTTGGCCTCTCAGTTCCCGTTTTGCTGCGTATACTAAGGAACGTATAAGAGGCCAAATGACTGCTGCTTGCAGGGACAAAATCCGGGACAACTTTCAACATTTTGTGCTGGCCTCTCAGTGTGGGCAAGTGACAAGTGTGGGCTGCCCGGCTGGCGGCTGCCCCTGCAAACATATAATCAGGGCTCTCACATCCTATTGTTTAGAAATCCTTAGACTAAGGACAAAAATTCCTCAGATTGAGTAAAATTTCCTTAAATCTCCGGGTTCCCAGATATGAAGACTGGGACCTAGTGTAGTTCAGTGGTGTAGTTTACTAAAAAGGCGGGAAAATTGTTTTGGTTTTATATTAGTTAGTGTAAAAAGCTGTTTTATTATTATCGTTGTTATAAACAATATATAAATCAAGTTCACGAACTGATCACAGAAGTTGAGAAGAGTTAAAAAAACATTGTAAGAATGGAGTAACAATTTTTAATTTTTGCCATGTTTTGTTCAGTTTTATGACTTTTGTAACGAAAGTAAATAATTTCGATAAAATTCAGAATTCCTTAGAAATTCATTAAAAAATAAAATTCCTCAAACAATTCCTTAAAAAGGTGAAATAAGATCAAAATTTCCTTAGTTTAAGGAAATTTCCTTAAAAGTGAGAACGCTGCATATAATTCATATAATTATACATCGCGCGCTCACAAGGCCTGGGCCTAGGCAGCCTAGGCTAGTGAGTTGTACTTGTACAGTTGTATTACTTGTATATCTTTTCGAAAACAAGCTTTATAAAAGTGAGTATATTTATATATCTTTATTCAGTATATCACATTACTCGTAGGTTTGCGGCTAATAAAACATATTCGTCCAAATGTCAGAAGTTGAAAACTCTATAATTTAAGACTCCCGTTAAGCACCGTTTGAATTTTTGATATGTCTGACCATGCCGGCCCATGGTCTGACAATGATTCATAATTTTAGATTAATTTAATTCCATAAAAAATGTTCGAAAATATGCTACGCTTAAAAAAAAATGAATATTTACATTTTGAATAGCTACATTGAAAGATTGTCTGTTTTTGAAAAGGTTTTATAAAAGAACATTCAGCTGATCTGTCTGACTACAATTAGTGAGCTTAAGCAAGTGACGTTTTTGACAACAGTAACGTGAAAAGACTGGATCAAGGATTGTGATTAGTGAAAAACAATTTACTTCCAGTCAACATACATATTGTCAAAAAGGTCACTTGCTTAAGCTCACTAATATTAATTACTACCAATCAGAAGCCAGCTCCTTACAAAGTAAAGTAAATACCTCAAGTACCACTTGAAAATTTTGAGTAATTTTACTGAGGTATTTTGAGTAATTACATGGGAATAATTCTATTATTTTCATGCAGAAATGCATTTGTTTTATAATCAGTTGTAAAGTTTAATCTACTTAGAAGGTGGTAATGTTAGTAGAATGAAGAGGCCTAAATAGTCTCCATACTCCATTATTTTACATATGTCATTATATAAACTTAGCACTTAGAACTTAATCCTTAAGGGTCCTTAACAAAAGTGTTCTGCAGTGGCGTAGGAAGCAGGATAATTGATTAGTCGATAGTTGAGAGGCACAGATTAATATATTCATGTTTCGCATGATCATTTCCCTTGAAAGCAAACCTTTTTTAGTCTGTTAACATAAAAATATGCAGTTTATCTTGCTGAATTCAATAGGGTTTTCAGATTTCTCTCTCATCTTTCATGTACAAAACTCTGCATCATATAAAGTTGTGATGGCTTTTGTTCGATAATTTATCTGCATTTTCAAATGAAAGAAAGTGTTTGAAATGAAAAGGATGCAGTTTATCATGCTGAATTCAATAGTGTTTCCAGATTTCTCACCATCATGTTCAAAACTCTTTATATGGTATAAAGTTGTGATCAGTTTCCGTGCTGTCCTAAAGCTTTAAAGTTTTGTACAAAAATGCCTTTCCACTTGCAATAAACGAAAAAGTGTTGCTGTCCAGCCTGTCCTCAAGAGAAGAAGTAATAGACCCAATAGCTCAAACTAAACTATTCATAATCTTATCAGCCTTTTGCAAATTTGCCACGTGTTTCAGCCATACGAACACCGTTTCAGCGAGTGAAGTTGTTACAACGCTTATGTCACTTCCCACTCTAAGGAACTCAGAATCAATAATTTTAAAAATTTTATTTCCAGTATTCTATTTCATGAAAAAGTTTTTATAACTTAATCCCTGTCTTCGTGTACTCAATTCTTGAATGCCAGCGACACTAAGTGCTTCGTCATAATTATGGAACCTGGGGAAATATTATCCTCAGAGCTCTTTTTTGTATCATTTACAAATAATGCCGTGTCCACTTCTAAAGTGTGCGGTTTGCACTTGTTTCAAACCACGAAAATGTGGTCATTTTCTCACAATTTACCACCATTCTCAATTTATTTGTCAATGATCTTTCAAAACTTTCTGTTTTCCCATAAGACGTGTTGTCAAATCTGTAAAACCGTTATTGTGTTTTAATTCTCGTCATCATGATTTATATCATTTCGGCAAGGTCCAAATTTCGATTTCAAAATGCAAATCGTCAATTTAAAAGTGACTGTTTTTTGTTTCATTTCAGTTCAGTTCAAGATTTTAAGAACAACCGCAAAATTTATGATAGGATGGAATTGTATAAAACACCTGATGTTCATTACCTCAAAGAATTTAAAATCTTTCGTTTTCCAGCTAAATCATTTCCAAAATGCCAGGAACAAAATTACAGATGAAGATCGAAAGACAATTGGTCGAAAATTTATTTGTACGAGCTGTAATTTACTACTCTCCGCTCCAATGCAAACTCATTGTGGTCACTTAATGTGTTCCTCGTGTGTTGACACAATGCTAGGGTATGTTATTCTTTATTTCTTATGACTTTATGTCCTAGCATACTATTCCTCTACACTCCCAAGGCTGTTTTACTTCTACCTTAATACACCTCGTTTTTCTGCAAACTATGATTTGAGACCAGTTCACTGTTTCACTGTTTGAGACACGATGAAATTATGGTCTAGTTCCCGTCTCGCCGCGTATACTAAGGAACGCATAAGAGGCCAAATGACTAAGCTGCTTGCAGGGACAAAATCCGGGACAATTTTCAACATTTTGTGCTAGGCCTCTCAACGTGGGCACAGTTTAAGGATATATCCTTAAACTGTCACGTGGCTGCCCCTGCATATAATTATACATCGCGCGCTTATAAGGCCTGGCACTAGGCTTGCAAAAGTGAATATACTTGTATATCTTTTCGAAAACAAGCTTTATTAAAGTGAGTATATTTATATATCTTTTATTCAGTATATCAGATTACTCGTAGGTTTACGGCTAATAAAATATATTCGTCCAGATGTCAGGAGTTGAAGACGAGTTGAAGAAGTTTATTAAAGACTCCCGTTAAGCACCGTTTGAAATTTTGATATGTCTCATCATGTCTAACCATGCCCATGGTCTGACAATGATTCATAATTTTAGATTAATTTAATTTCATAAAAAAATGTTCGAAACTTTGCTACGCTTAGAAAAAATAAATAGTTACATTTTACATAGCTACATTGAAAGACTGTCTGTTTTTTGACAAGGTTTTATAAAAGAACATTCGGCCGACCCGTCTGACTACAAATATCACTACCAAAAAGAAGCCAGCTCGTCACAATGTAAAGTAAATACCTCAAGTAAATACCCCAAGTCCTGGCAGCATAATTAATCTCCCGTAGCTTATTTCAAGCAAAATATTTGACTAGCAACGTCGAACAAGGTCAGCTAACCGCGTCGTATATCGTAAACTAACCTCATTACCTCAATACAGAAAGTGGGGACAAAAAGTCCTCACTTTAGCTAAAATATAACATTTTCTTCTTGGCCTCTCAGTTCCCGTCTCGCCGCGTGTACTAAGGAACGTATAGGAGGCAAAATGACTAAACTGCTTGCAGGGACAAATCAGGGACAATTTCCAACATTTTGTGCTAGGCCTCTCAGCGAACTCTCAGCGTGGGCTGCCCCTGCATATAATTATACATCGCGCGCTTAAAAGGCCTGGGACTAGGCTGCAAAAGTGAGTATACTTGTATATCTTTTCGAAAACAAGCTTTATAAAAGTGAGTATACTTATATATCTTTATTTAATATATCACATTACTTGTAGGTTTGTGGCTGATAAAATATATTCGTCCAGATGTTAGGAGTTGATGACTCTATAATTTAAGACTCCCGTTAAGCACCGTTTGAATTTTTTATATGTCTCATGTCTGACCATGCCCATGGTCTGACAATGATTCATAATTTTAGATTAATTTAATTTCATAAAAAAATTCACAAAGTAAAGTAAATACCTCAAGTACCACTTGAGAATATTGTATTTTGAGGTATTTTGAGTAATTACATGGGGATAATTTTATTATTTTCATGAAGAAATGCAATGTTTTATAATCAGTTGTAAAGTTTAATATAGTTAGAAGGTATTTTAATGTTAGTGGGATGAACAGGTCCAAATAGTCTCCATACTCCATTATTTTACATATGTCATTATATAAACTTAGTACTTAGAACTTAATCCTTAAGGGTCCTTAACAAAAGTGTTCTGCAGTGGCGTAGGAAGCAGGATAATTGATTAGTCGATAGTTGAGAGGCACATATTAGTATATTCATGTTTCGCATGATCATTTCCCTTCAAAGCAATCATTTTTTTAGTCTGTTAACATAAAAATATGCAGTTTATCTTGCTGAATTCAATAGTGTTTTCAGATTTCTCTCTCATCTTTCATGTACAAAACTCTGCATCATATAAAGTTGTGATGGCTTTTGTACTGTCCTTATTATGGCTATAAAGTTCTACTGAGCAAAAAAACGTTTGATAATTCATCTGCATTTTCAAATGAAGGAAAGTGTTTGAAATGAAAAGGATGCAGTTTATCATGCTGAATTCAATAGTGTTTCCAGATTTCTCACCATCATGTTCAAAACTCTTTGTATAGTATAAAGTTGTGACCAGTTTCTGTGCTGTCCTAAAGCTTTAAAGTTTTGTACATACTTGCCAAAAATGCCTTTCCACTTGCAATAAACGAAAAAGTGTTGTTGTCCAGCCTCCCCTCAACACAAAAAGTAATAGACCTAAAAGCTCAAACTCAACTATTCATAATCTTTTCAGCCTTTTGCCAATTTGCGTTTCACCTATACGAACGCCGTTTCAGCTGGTGAAGTTGTTCCAACGCGTATGTCACTTCCGGCTCCAAGGAACTCAGAATGAACATTTTTAAAAATTTCATTTCCAGTATTTGTGTCGGTTTAACATTTCCACTTTCTTGTTGAGTTGATGTCTTCGACATTGGCGAGACGTCGTAATGTGAAATACGACTAAATAATTATGACAGTGAACATTAAAAGTCCAAGATCCCACGTTAAGACTGGCGTCACTCGTTGGACATGACGATTTCACTCATATAGCTATTAGCCAACCAGTGGCTGTGAATACTCTTAAATAAATAATGACGGGTTGGAACATTTTCAATACCGTGTCCACTTCTAAAGCGTTCGGTTTGCACTTGTTTCCAACCACGAAAATGTGGTCATTTCACACAATTCAATTTGAAAGTGACTGTTTTTTGTTTCAGTTCAGTTCAGTTCGGTTCAGTTCAAAATTTTAAAAACAACCGCAAAATTTATGATAGGATAGAATTGTATAAAACAACTGATGTTCTTTACGTCACAGCTGAATCACCTCCAACATGCCAGGAACAAAAATTACAGATGAAGATCGAAAGACGATTGGTCGAAAATTTATTTGCACGAGCTGTAATTTACTACTCTCCGCTCCGATGCAGACTCATTGTGGTCACTTGATGTGTTCCTCGTGTGTTGACACAATGTTAGAGTATGTTATTCTTTATTTCTTATGACTTTATGTCCTAGCAAAGCATATTCCATATTTAAGGCCTACCAATTAGGTCAAACGGCATTTCTTGTAATCCATTTTTGTGCGTAAGCCGTTCCTAAATAGAATTTAAATTTTTTTTACTTGAAAAAAAGACTGTTTTCCGGCAAATCGTTTTTGCACGATGTGTTCGAATGAATCAGACTACCTAGAAGATATTTACGAAGTGTTTAAAATTTTTGATACACCCTGCAGTGTTAGTGAATCAGGGGGGGGGGGCACAAGAATGATAATTGGGGGCGGCAGATATTCATATACATTCTTGTTCACATACAGTAAATCTAAATAATGCAGGACACGAATATATAAATATTGCCCCCCCCCCCCAATTATCTCTCTTGCGATGAATGATGGTAATTATACTAATTCTCTTCACTTAGCATAAAGTTTTTTGTCTATTTTACCAGATATCATATAAGATTTTATTCGAAGACTAGTATTTTTCTGGTAAATTTCGGAGCTTTTCTCGATCTGGGTCAATGTAATAAACAATTATTGGATGAGGTTTTTGTGATATGCAGAGTTATCAAGGCAGGGGCGGCGGAACATAATATATTTTGGGGGGGGGTTAATCTCACGAGGCGCCACCATGGTTAGCGCTGGGCGAAAATTTTTTGGAATTTCAATGCTCTAGATCTTCAGAAATGGCCATCTCCGAGTCTTACTTGCGGCTTTCATCGTAGTTTTTCATGGGCAAACACAACTGAACTGAAACGGCACATCTCTCAAATTCTCAAAATAATTTCCAAACAAAATGGCGGTCCGAAAATAATAACAATATACAATCACGAATATTCTGCTGTTAAAGCCAAGTAAGAAAGATCAAAGGAAGTCAATTTACATTTACTTGATCCGTATCACAATATAGGATATCTTATTAGAATTTGATACGCCGGCGAGCATTAATTTGACGACTTCGTAGTAACATAATTTGTATATTTAATCTCCCATTCTGGCATTCTTCATCAATTTTTAGGGGGGCTAGGCCCCCCCGCTTTTACTTCTGGGGGGGGCTAAAGCCCCCCTAGCCCCCCCTGTTCCGCCGCCCCTTTATCAAGGTCGAATAACGCTTACCGAGATCTTGATAACTCTGCACATTACAAAAACCGACTATTCAATAATTGTTTTATTATACATTTGAAGAATAGTAAACATAGTATTAACGAATGAAAAACCTTTTTTAATAGCAACATCCAAAAATACATCAATTTTACATAATATATAAATACATTCAAATGAATACCGCTTGTTAACCACCGCAGGCTCACTTACAGATAACTTAGTTATCTGCTAGCAGATAACTGAATTTTGCGTGATTGCGCGATTTATCTGTCAACTATTAGCCAATCAAATTGCTTTTACTACTATAATTTATAATAATGAAAATTATATTACTATTCAGGAGTTCAGACCCAAGATGTCCTGATGATGGTTCAGAACTAAAAAAGGAACAGGTAGGGTATTTTTTCGATCACCACAAAAAGGTTTTTTACCTTAACTAGTGTGTAAGTGCCTGTTACCAACAAATAATAACTCGTTTTGTTATATAGGTGCTGTGTATTTTAAATGTGATTGGTTCATTCGTAGTCACATGACTTTAAATAAATGCAATGTTTTCCGCCAGGGAAACAAGTGAAAAATTGTTGCCCGCATATTGTCATAACAAAGTGTTTTCTGTAATGAAATTGTTGTGTAACATGTATGTTTTTCGTCTCCGGAAACATTCAGACTCTTGGGAAAACAAAATTCACTATTTCCCTCGGGAGCATACATTAAGTGTATAATGTTTCAAGGTCATAGAAAGTTTTATAGTTTTTCGATTTTACCTCAGGTATTTCCTGATACGTTCACTAGACGTGAACTACGAGCATTGTCGTTACATTGTTCCAACGAAGGCTGTCTTTGGTACGGCACATATGATGATTTAGAGGTAAGCTTGTGAAGATATGATAGGGGAACAATGAACAAACGGCGGAACATGATAAAAGAGCATGAGGGGATGGAATTAGATGATCAACATTAAAGAAATTCATGCAATTGCAAAAAAGGGAAAATATTTCTTCAACACCATCTTTTGGCAGGTTTTAAAGTTAACAGTTTATGACGCGATAATGTTATTTCGATACAGGCTCATTCCCAGGTGTGTGATCATACTCAGATAAACTGTGTTCATTCTAAATGCAAGATGAAGTTCAAACGCTCTCATTTGGGTGAACATTTGAAAAGCGAATGTGACTATCGCAGTGTGAAGTGTAAATATTGCCACAAAGACATATCATTTGCTTCTCTTAAGGTAAAATTGAACGTTTCGTTTGCACGAAACTAATTTCTCTCTACCTGAAATAAGCAAGTGATTCGTTTAGGATCATGTTGGTACAAACTGTGAAGGTGCACCTGTGACTTGCAAGTTCTGTGAGCAAAACGTTTTGAGAAGAGACCTCGAAAGACACGAGCAAGTTGTGTGTGAAGAGATTCCTGGGGAATGCGAATACCAGGCCGTCGGTTGTAATCACGACAAGGTAAGATTTTGCTGTAGGATATTCGTAGGACAATGAATAGTGCATGCATGTGAACTTTGAGCCAACGGAGGTAAAAATAATATAAATGAAATTATAGTCTAGGTTTCTTCCTGTAATAACACTGGATCAAAGGTTACTTCGATTCAAACAGCCATCAAATATAAATACAGTTAGTGTAGGTTCCATCCAGTATAGTAACAGAGGATGAAAAAGTATTGACCTAATTTAATATATTATTTGTAGACTTTAAAACGAAGGGAACTACGCCAACATATGAATGATGGTTTGATTGATCATGTCCGTCTGTTGCTTCAGTTTTCTCTTAACTGGGTATCTCAATTGGGGAGCTACATCCCACGACCAGAGTTCGCCGGAATCATTAAAAAAATGCGCGATGATATTACCGAAGTTCGCTCAGGCTTAGCCGAAAAATTCGTCATGTTGGTCGGGAAATTAACTGGGTTGGAGAGACGGATTGAAGGTTTGGAATCCAATGGTGGCGGCAATGCGAGAATGGGTGAAGAAATCCGTAAACTGTTGGCGAAAGATCAAAACCTTACCACTGACATCAATAGTTTACGGGAACGAGTTCAAAGTTTGGAGCGAGAATTAAGAGAGAAAGATTCACAACTTGAAAGAGTGCGAAACCGAACGGATCAAATTGATGAATCTCTTGCTCTTAATACAGTGAAAATTACCGATTTGGAGTCCCAAAGAAGACCTCAGGCTCAGCAAGATCCATAGCTACAATGGTACTCTGGTTTAAAAGATCGAAGGCTAACTTAAAATCAAAATATAACTTTGATTTTGAACATCACCAACAACACTACATTGTCGAAGACTGGGGACATTTAATATTTAGTTACTACTTTACATAGACAGTAAAATGAAGTAATGTAAGAGGTAAAAGTGTGAGGGAAAAGTGATTGTGAAAGTAAATACAAAAGATTTGGTTTGTTCAAATTTTGAGACTATTTTTGAGACTTATTGCGGAGTACAGCTCTGGGAGGCGATTATCCGCAATACCTAGTGACCATTAGACGGAAATATCGGGAAAACACTTCAACGGCAAACTCGAGCGTGTTTATAAGGTACGGATTTGATGCGAATTAGCTTACACGTCGATTTTAACTAGAAATTGATGATTTAAAGGATTCTGCTCACGGGAATTTTATAATAGACAGGATTGACCACGAGTTTACTGCGAGTTTTTCCACGCGCAACGAACGGGATTATTGCGTCATGGTATCATAAACCGCGAAAGTTGTTCAATTTCACGGGTATTATATATAAATGCTATATGGTTTGACGGATTTCTAGCGAAGCGAATTGTGAATTACATCTATTTAGTAAAACCGTCTTGATCTGAGTAAAATATCGCCATGACAACAAGTGAAGCAAAACTGAAAGCGAAATTGACTCAACTAAAAATAACTGCAGATCGCACAAACAATGTATTGCAAAGTGAACAACCAGAAGCTATAGAGCGTCAACTTAAAGCTGATCAATATCGAAGAGAGGAAGAGACACGAAGGATCGTAGCAGAACAAGACCTTACACAAATTGGTGAATGGAATGTAGACATTGAGGCAGAACTGGCCCAGACAGAACAAGAAATAAAACGCTTGACAACATGGATTGACGAGTACAGTTGGAGATTGGGTGAAGAAAAACGGAGACAAGAACTCGATTTTGAGCAAAAACTTTTTGAGACACGCCTCAAGTTTCAAACCGATTTCAAACCGAAAAGTTTCATTGATCGACTCGGGAGCTGGCAGCTCATATGCGTCGGCAAAGCTTATTAATCTCTTAAAGAAAAAAACAGTCGATGTTACGAAGAAAAGAATTGACATGCTGATGGGATCACAAGTAGCACATCTGGAAACTTACCAAACATCGGTCAGTTCGGTAAGCGGCGAATTTAAGATGGATGTGAACTTAGTCACGATCAGTAAAGAGGAACTTTTATCAGTGGACATTTCGAGATACAATGACTTGATTAAGAAGTATCCGCATCTTAAGAGCGTAGAAGTTCTAGATCATGATTTGAAACCAAAATTACCGGTCCATGTGGTGCCCACCGCTGGAGAATATGCACGAATCAAAACAACCACCAAAACACACACAGCAGAGTTTGACCATACCCAAATCTTACTTACCCAAAGTTCCCAAACAGACTACGAGCATCTATGGCGGTTGGACGTTCTGGGATTGGAAGATACATCTGAGAACGATCAAGGGGATCTGTACACAGAGATTCCATTAGAAACATCCGGGCGGTGATTTGATAAAAGTCTACAGGTTTACTCGGGCTCTATTCGGGTTGACGTGCTCACCTTTTCTACTCGGCGGCGTCATCGATCAGCATTTGGAACTTTGGCAAAAGCACGAACCTGAGATAGTAGCAGAGCTCCAAAAGAACTTGTATGTAGATGATCTGTTGACCGGAGGCACAACTGTACACGAGGCACAAGAGAAGAAAACGAAAATGACGAAGGTCGTGAAAGATGCAACCTTCAAGTTACACAAGTGGAATGCAAGTGAGAAAGTGCTTGAAGGAGATGGAAATTTACATAATGAAGACCAGTGCGAAAGTCAGACATTTGCGAAACAGTAATTGAATGTCAAGAGTAGTGATTCGAAACTTTTGGGTCTACCATAGGACAAAGAATCGGACAGGTTAACAGTAACTTTTCCGGATGAATCTCTCTCAACAACAAAGCAAATTAAAGCAAAGGTATCTTGAGCAAATTGTCAAGAATTTACGACCCTCTCGGTTTAGTTTCACCAGGGCAAGATGATCTATAGGGATGTGTGTGATGCAAAATGGTCACGGGACACCCAAATTAAAAGAGATTTGGCAGATCGATATATCGTTGGAAGATATGGGAAGAATCACTACCCATTGAAGAAACAGTGCCAAGATCTCTGGTACCATATCATGAGAAGGTTGAATCCATGAGTTTGCACGCATTTGGTGATGCAAGTAACAAGGGTGTTTGTGCCACAGTGTATGCGGTAGTAGAGCAACCATCGGGAACCACGCAGTCGCTGGTAGCATCCAAGTCTATCAAGTCTACAACCGAAAGTCGAGCTGAAGAGAAACTTGAGCGACAGATGGTTTGCTGCACCGTCCAGCCCAAAGTCGCAAGTGACTCGTTTGACGTTCTGCTCGAAGCTCATATCACCAACTTGTGAAGAGTCTTACGAGTAGGTGCTTGGGTTCAACGATTCCTATCTAACCTAAAGCTAGAACGGACACGCCAGAACCTTGGTCCATTAACAACAACCGAGTTACAGACGCAACAGGTGTGGTGGATCAACAACGCAACAAAACCGTGAGAACGATGAGGAGTATAATGTGGACAAGCTGCAACTCAATTTGCAAAGAAACTATGAGGGATTACTGGAATGTCGGGGAAGAATTGTCGGACAATATCCAATTTAATTACCTGATGGGGTGCGAAATCTTCTGAATCCCCAGGCTACGGAAGTTTGTGAAACAAGTGCGTAAGAGATGCTGGGGATGCAAGAGAGTACAAGCTACAGCTTACGCTGAACCACCGGCAGGACAATTACCAGCAAGCAGAACGCAGGGAGAACGCCCATACGAAGTAGTCGAAGTAGATTTTGCTGGACCGATTAAGTTCATAGTTAAAGGTAAAACCGAAGGAAAGAGTTATCTATGTCTGTTCGCCTGCAGCTTAACACGAGGTGTTTACTTAGAGTTATTGCATACGTTAGTCGTTAGAGAAGGAAGAATTCGTGAGGTGTCTAAAGAAATTTGTGGCAAGACGAGGCCGACCAAAAGTGATATACTCAGATAACGGTAGTACATTTAAGGGGGCTGCTTCGTGGATTAAGAAGGTGATAAAGGACGAGAAGCTGCACGATTACCTTGCACGGAATGCGATTGAATGGAAGTTTAACCTATCGCGGGCACCCCGATGGAGTGGACAATACGAGAGGCTAGAGGGCATATTCAAAGGAGCATTTTACAAAGCAATTGGAAATGGGATGTTATCATTCAATGAACTGTCCGAAATCGTTACCGACGTGGAAGTTTGTATAAATAGTCGACCGTTAGACTACGTAAAAGACGATACAACTCCCGTTAATGACACCAAACTCGTTATTGTTTCTTCAGCCAAATTACGTGCTCGACATAGAACCTCAACGTATTGAAGAACCTGACCTTCGACGACGCGCCAGACATCTATCCAGAGTGAAAGACGCCATGTGGTCAAGGTGGAGTAAAGAATATGTAAAAACTCTCCGAGAACGTCATCGAATGCAGGTAACAAAGGGAATCCGAGTGGCAGCAGTGAATGAAATCGTCATATTAAAAGGAGAAGAAAAGAATCGAAACCTATCGAAACTTGGGAAGGTTATCGAACTGATCTACGGTCGGGATCAAATAGTGCGTGGCGCCAAGATTCAAACGGGAAAAGGAGTGCTTGAAAGAACACCGCAGCATCTCTTTCCACTGGAACTGAAATGGGATTTGGCGGCGAAACCGCAGAGAGGAAGTTTGAACTGTTGAAGCCTTAGAATTCCGTCCTAAACGTCAAGCCAGTGAACAAGCAAGAATGAAGATACAAGCGGTGATAGCTGACGAACAAGATTAAGATAATTAAGGATAATAAGGATAACATATAACTCTGTAGTTATATCACTTATATGGGGGGAGGAGGGTGTCGAAGACTGGGGACATTTAATATTTGGTTAGTACTTTGCATAGACAGTAAAATGAAGTAATGTAAGAGAGGTCATGTGACGGGGCCCGGGGGAGTTTGAGGGAAAAGTGATTGTGAAAGTAAATACAAAAGATTTTGTTTGTTCAAATTTTGAGACTTATTGCGGAGTACAGCTCTGGGAGGCGAGCATCCGCAATAACACAACCTTTTACTACACACGTAACTACAGTTTCATTGTACATAGTTTCTTGAAGAACTCCATCACACAAACAAAACCTAACCTTTTTCTCTAGTTGGTTTAATTCAGACAATTGTTACAAATTAACCTATAACTATATAAGAACTACAATATGGTTCCAATTACCTATATCAAAATATAAAATAAACATCATAACCCCCCATTTAATGTTGTCTTTTATTAAGAATTGCTGTAACAAACAAAGTAAATGTTTGCAATTTACAACACGAACCGTTATAAAGGAAGCAAGAATAAATAATTGAAATTGCCGGATTGAAGCTTATTATAATCATAAACATGTACGTACGGACTCGAGTTTACTTGATAGTCGATAGCATTGACAGCGAACGACATTACAACGTTTATATGAATATTTCGAAGTCTTGGCAGCATAATTATTTCCCGTAGCTTATTTCAAGCAAAATATTTGACTAGCGACGTCGAACAAGGTCAGCTAACCGCGTCGTAGATCGTAAACTGACCTCAATACAGAAAGTGGGGACAAAAAGTCCCACCTTTAGCTAAAATAAAACGTTTTCTTCTAAGGAACGTATAAGAGACAGAGGCCAAATGACTAAGCTGCTTGCAGGGACAAAATCAGGGACAACTTTCAACATTTTGTGCTAGGCCTCTCAGCGTGGGCTGCCCCTGCATATAATTATACATCGCGCGCTTAAAAGGCCTGGGACTAGGCTGCAAAAGTGAGTATACTTGTATATCTTTTCGAAAACAAGCTTTATAAAAGTGAGTATACTTATATATCTTTATTTAATATATCACATTACTTGTAGGTTTGTGGCTAATAAAATATATTCGTCCAGACTCCCGTTAAGCACCGTTTGAATTTTTTATATGTCTCATGTCTGACCATGCCCATCAGCCCATGGTCTGACAATGATTCATAATTTTAGATTAATTTAATTTCATAAAAAAATTCACAAAGTAAAGTAAATACCTCAAGTACCACTTGAGAATTTTGTATTTTGAGGTATTTTGAGTAATTACATGGGGATAATTTTATTATTTTCATGAAGAAATGCAATGTTTTATAATCAGTTGTAAAGTTTAATATAGTTAGAAGGTATTTTAATGTTAGTGGGATGAACAGGTCCAAATAGTCTCCATACTCCATTATTTTACATATGTCATTATATAAACTTAGCACTTAGAACTTAATCCTTAAGGGTCCTTAACAAAAGTGTTCTGCAGTGGCGTAGGAAGCAGGATAATTGATTAGTCGATAGTTGAGAGGCACATATTAGTATATTCATGTTTCGCATGATCATTTCCCTTCAAAGCAAACCTTTTTTAGTCTGTTAACATAAAAATATGCAGTTTATCTTGCTGAATTCAATAGGGTTTTCAGATTTCTCTCTCATCTTTCATGTACAAAACTCTGCATCATATAAAGTTGTGATGGCTTTTGTACTGTCCTTATTATGGCTATAAAGTTCTACTCAGCAAAAAAACGTTTGATAATTCATTTGCATTTTCAAATGAAGGAAAGTGTTTGAAATGAAAAGGATGCAGTTTATCATGCTGAATTCAATAGTGTTTCCAGATTTCTCACCATCATGTTCAAAACTCTTTGTATGGTATAAAGTTGTGACCAGTTTCTTTACTGTCCTAAAGCTTTAAAGTTTTGTACATACTTGCCAAAAATGCCTTCCCACTTGCAATAAACGAAAAAGTGTTGCTGTTCAGCCTGTCCTGAAGACAAAAAGTAATAGACCCAAAAGCTCAAACTCAACTATTCATAATCTTTTCAGCCTTTTGCAAATTTGCCACGTGTTTCAGCCATACGAACGCCGTTTCAGCGAGTGAAGTTGTTACAACGCGAATGTCACTTCCGGCTCCAAGGAACTCAGAATGAATATTTTTAAAAATTTTATTCCCAGTATTCTATTTCATGGAAAAGTTTTTATCAGTTAATCCCTGTCTTCGTGTACTCAATTGTTGAATGCCAGCGACACTAAGTGCTTCGTCATATGGAACCTGGGGAAATATTATCCTCAGAGCTCTTTTTTGTATCATTTACAAATAATGCCGTGTCCACTTCTAAAGTGTGCGGTTTTCACTTGTTTCCAACCACGAAAATGTGGTCATTTTCTCACAATTTACCACCATTCTCAATTTATTTGTGAATGATCTTTCAAGACTTTCTGTTTTCCCATAAGACGTGTTGTCAAATCTGTAAAACTGTTATTGTGTTTTAATTCTCGTCATCATGATTTATATCATTTCGGCAAGGTCCAAATTTCGATTTCAAAATGCAAACGTCAATTTGAAAGTGACTGTTTTTTGTTTTATTTCAGTGTTTAAGTATGGCACAACCACAAAATTTATGATAGGATGGAAGTGTATAAAACACCTGATGTTCATTACGTTAAAGAATTTAAAATCTTTCGTTTTCCAGCTGAATCATTTCCAAAATGCCAGGAACAAAAATTACAGATGAAGATCGAAAGACGATTGGTCGAAAATTTATTTGTACGAGCTGTAATTTACTACTCTCCGCTCCGATGCAAACTCATTGTGGTCACTTGATGTGTTCTTCGTGTGTTGACACAATGCTCGAGTATGTTATTCTTTATTTCTTATGACTTTATGTCCTAGCATACTATTCCTCTACACTGCCAAGGCTGTTTTATTTCTACTTTAATACACCTCGTTTTTTTACTCGTTTTTACTGTTTGCACGCTTGTCGAATTTACGATAAATTGTAAAGAACAATCAGCCGAGCTGGCGAAGGTCCGTTCACACCTGCATTTGCTGCGAATTAAATTTCGTCGTTATTTTCGATCTGGTTTTCTGCTAATGGATGCCCTGATTCACAAATTGGATTAACTTTCATTATCTTCAAAGCATATTCCATATTTTAAGCCTACCAAATTATTAGGTCAAACTGCATTTCCTTTCCTTTTGTGCGTAAGCCGTTCCTAAATAGGATTTGAAAACTTTTTACTTGCAAAAAAAACGCCGTTTTCCGGCAAATCGTTTGTGCACGATGTGTTCGAATGATTCAGACTAAGTTTTTAATACACCCTGCAGTGTTAGTGAATCAGGGGGGCCGCAAGAATGATAATTGGGGGGGTGCAGATATTCATATATATTCTTGTTCACATTTAGTAAATCTAGATAATGCAGGACACGAATATATAAATATTGCCCCCCCCCCCAATTATCTCTCTTGCGATGCCTCTCCTTTATTCTCGGTGTTCCACAGAACGAGTGCTTGGTGGGTGCTTGCAAGCACAAGTAAATTCGCTCCAGGAGCGCCGCAAGAATGACAATTCAGGGGGCAGATATTTATATACATTCTTGTTCACCGGTCGTAAGATTTAAAAAAATCTAAATAATGCAAAACACGAATATATGAAAATTTTACCTCCCAATTATCGTTTTTGCGGTGCCCCTGGAGCGAATTTGCTTGTGGTTTCAGGCACTCGTCAGAAGTTCTGTGGAACACCGCGTAGACAGTGGCGTCGCCAGCATTGATAAGCATATATTCATGTTCACAGACCGTAAAAACAATCAATTTGAAAAGAAATGAATGTTGTAAAACAAGCAAATTTCGAAACCGTAGACAGTCGCATCGTTGATGGTCAATCGCATCATTTAACTAGATCTCAGGTTGCTTGGGAACACGGGCTCACACTCTTATTAACGACAAATATACACAGAAAACAAACCAAACCCTCAAAAAACCCAAATCATTAACCAAAAGGTATTTTCACTTGTTCAATTCGGGACTTTGCAAATACGAAAAAAAGAAAAAACAAAGTGGTTACAGGATGTATTCGAACACAGGTATCAAGCACAAGAACCAAACCCTTGACCATTGGATGAAAAGCCCGCTAGTTTAACATTTATATGTCGGCCAATTAAATCGGCAGAGTTCTAGCAATTTGGTATCGATTTAAATGATGCGACTGACCATCAACGATGCGACTGACTGTCTACGGTTTCGAAATAGGCGGCGACGACGTCACTGCGCATAGAATGGAGGAGTTGCAGCATTTAAACGACACAGATTGTTGGATCAATACTAGATAATAATAATAATAATAATAGAGACAAAATATTAAATAAAAATTAGTAGCTAACTTCTCATTCAATGTTCTTCCTAGGAAGAATGGTAATTATACTAATTCTCTTCACTTGGCCCAATGTCTTTTGTCTATTTTACCTGATGTTATATAAGATTTTATCCAAAGACTAATATTTTTCTGGTAAATTTCGGAGCTTTTCTCGATCTGCGCCAATGTAATGAAAATGATATTACTATTCAGGAGTTCAGACCCAAGATGTCCTGATGATGGTTCAGAACTAAAAAAGGAACAGGTAGGGTATTTTTTCGATCACCACAAAAAGGTTTTTTGTACCCTAACTAGTGTGTAAGTGCCTGTATGGTGCCTGTTACCAACCAATAATAACTCTTTATGTTTCAAGGTCATAGAAAGTTTCATAGTTTTTCGATTTTGCCTCAGGTATTCCCTGATACGTTCACTAGACGTGAACTACGAGCATTGTCGTTACATTGTTCCAACGAAGGCTGTCTTTGGTACGGCACATATGATGATTTAGAGGTAAGCTTGTGAAGATATGATAGGGGAACAATGAGCATGGCGGAACGTGATAGAAGAGCATGAGGGGATGGAGTTAGATGATCAACATTAAAGAAATTCATGCAATTGCAAAAAAGGGAAAATACTGCTGCCTTAAGACTATCTTTTAGCAGCTTTTAAAGTTAACAGTTTATGATGCGATAATTTTATTTCGATACAGGCTCATTCCCAGGTGTGTGATCATGCCCAGATAAACTGTGTTCATTCCCAATGCAAGATCAAGTTCAAACGCTCTCATTTGGGTAAACATTTGAAAAGCGAATGTGACTATCGCAGTGTGAAATGTAAATATTGCCACAAAGACATACCATTTGCTTCTCTTAAGGTAAAATTGAAGGTTTCGTTTGCACGAAACTGCGCTGCGATATTTCATTTCGTGATATATGAAAGTAATTTCTCTCTACGTGAAATAAGCAAGTGATTCGTTTAGGATCATGTTGGTACAAGCTGTGAAAGTGCACCTGTGACTTGCAAGTTCTGTGAGCAAAACGTTTTGAGAAGAGACCTCGAAAGACACGAGCAAGTTGTGTGTGAAGAGATTCCTGGGGAATGCGAATTCCAGGCCGTCGGTTGTAATCACGACAAGGTAAGAATTTGCTGTGGGATATTCGTAGGACAATGAATAGTGCATGCATGTGAAATTTGAGCCAACGGAGGTAAAAATAGTATAAATGAAATTATATTATGATTTTTGGCACTTCACTCGTTTTTGGTAAATTCTAGAGGTTTAAAGGGTCTTAATATCGAGTGGAATTATACACACTTTAAATTCAAGCCAGTTGATGACAGTGATGGAAAAATGAGTCAACTATAGGTCCTCCGGCAGGAATCGAACCTACGCTTTTGCGATGCGGGTGCAATGTCGGTGGCAAGAGCAAGACCCTTTAAACCTATAAATAAAATTATCGTCTAGGTTTCTTCCTGTAATAACACTGGATCAAAAGGTTACTTTGATTTAAACAGCCATCAAATATAAATTACAGTTAGTGTAGGTTCCATCCAGTATAGTAACAGAGGATGAAAAAGTATTGACCTAATTTAATATATTATTTGTAGACTTTAAAACGAAGGAAACTACGCCAACATATGAATGATGGTTTGATTGATCATGTCCGTCTGTTGCTTCAGTTTTCTCTTAACTGGGTATCTCAATTGGGGAGCTACATCCCACGACCAGAGTTCGCCGGAATCATTAAAAAAATGCGCGATGATATTACCGAAGTTCGCTCAGGCTTAGCCGAAAAATTCGTCATGTTGGTCGGGAAATTAACTGGGTTGGAGAGACGGATTGAAGGTTTGGAATCCAATGGTGGCGGCAATGCGAGAATGGGTGAAGAAATCCGTAAACTGTTGGCGAAAGATCAAAACCTTACCACTGACATCAATAGTTTACGGGAACGAGTTCAAAGTTTGGAGCGAGAATTGAGAGAGAAAGATTCACAACTTGAAAGAGTGCGAAACCGAACGGATCAAATTGATGAATCTCTTGCTCTTAATACAGTGAAAATTACCGATTTGGAGTCCCAAAGAGGACCGCGGGCTCAGCAACAGATCCATAGCTACAATGGTACTCTGCTTTGGAAGATTGAAGGCTACCAGAGGAAACGACAAGATGCTATCAATGGAGTGAAGACAACCTTGTATAGTCCACATTTCTACAGCGCTCAGTATGGGTATAAAATGTGTGCAAAGATTTACATGAACGGAGATGGATTTGGAAAAGGATCGCATTTATCGCTGTTTTTTGTTGTGATGAAAGGTGATTCAATTGAGCTGCTTTCTCAACTCTCGTACAGACAGGGCCGTAGCTAGAAGCTTAATTGGGGGTGTATATTCATATTCGTCTTATGCCCGACTGATTTCTTCTATACGCTATTGTTCCTACGGTGTGTAAACATGAATCATTATGAATGTACACACCATCCCTCAATTTAGCGATTTAGCTACGGCCCTGCTTACTGATCATCTCTGGGTATATAGCAAAATAATTTTATGACTGTATCGCAGCGTGTCAATTCAATATGCTTATTTTTATGGCTCATTTAAGGTGACTATGACTCCCTTCAAACTTGGCCATTTCAGAAGAAGATTACCATGATGCTCTTAGATCAAGGTAACGGTGATCACATGGTCGACGCTTTCCATTCTGATCCTCAAAGTTCGTCTTTTCAACGCCCAAAGTCTGATATGAATATCGCCTCTGGTTCTCCACTATTTATGCCGATTGATAGTTTAAACAATCGTCAGTACATCAAAGATGACGTATTGTTCATCAAGATTATTGTGGATTAAGCAGTGTGGGGATGTTGTCATCCCACTGAAAAGGAGTTAAAAAGAAAAGTGGTGACATTTTGGAATTTTTTTCACGAGGAAAAGCGGTGACATTTTGACATTTTTTTCACGAGGTGTAAAATTAAGTCATTGGGAAACTTTGTTTTGAGATATCGACTTCGAGAATGCAGGGGTAGATATCACGGTGTGGCTTTAAAATTCTGTCTTCTAGTAATTATGAGTTCATGGTTCTTTCCTCCACTGTTTCCTGTGTGATTTTCATTAGAATTTGACGTCTGGCTATATTCGCATATTTTTCTTTTGCATTCTTGTTCTAGAGATGGCCCAAGCCAACTCTCAATTCTATTGGCCTAATATCCTACCTGATGTTTACTCGTGCTCCTTGTTTCTTTTTATTTCTGAAGACTTTCTTCACCTGTTCCTTTTTCTCGGAGGTGACTGTAAAAATATCAAAGTTGTTGAAAGTTGTTTATCAATGGGTGAGGTTGTTATTTATGTAATTCCCACTTAACATGGTGAAAAGAAAACCTCGTAACGTTGGTATGATTTTCATTAATGGATACATGTTGACTTGTTGGAAATACAAAGAGTTTACAATATTGATTTGAAGTCCCAGAACTTTGTATTTCCCTATTCATTTTGATGTTATTTTCAGTTTAGTTTATGGTAGTAGTGTGCACAGAAAGAGATTAAAATATCCGGAACATAAAAAAACTGGAATCTGGATTTAGAATAGTGCATATTTATTATCATACAATACAACATATCATTGATATTCATATTAATGTTAATTAGCAATATTGTATTGTTGGTGTTAATAAAAGTTATAAAAATTTTGTCTGCAGTGGAAAAGGTCTGAACATAGTTCCGTTGAACTGTGGGGCTCTCCATATCACCTAGCTCGTTTGAGACACTGATCAATTCGTTTTAAGTATTTTTTTCAAGAGTGCTGAGCCCTATACTTCAATAGCATAGATAAATAATAATAGTATCAAAGAAAAAAATAGTTTTGTTAATTGATCACGAGGGTAATCTATATATTCTTAGGATGTGCGTTCACCCACTAGCTTTAGATAGTAGACCACCCATATGAAGATCCCAACAGGCAACAACAGGGGTTGTCTTGAAAACTGACACCAAGGAGTATAAGACATTCCTTTCGTTCAATTCCATCAATAAAGGGAGGTAACTGTTTTAGTGATCCATTACATATAGCCATTTCCCATGTTTTGGATAGATTAATTAGATTTAGGGTCATTCCGTTTTAATCTGACCAGTCCCTAATATTTCTGACTTCATTAGAAGCAGTATCCTGACTATCCTCTGGGTACGAGGTTGCAGTATCCCCATTGGTTTTTACCGGTGAAATGTCATGTCATCCGCAAATCTGGTCATCAGGATCTTTTGGTTTTACATCATTTAACCATCAGTGAAAACAAGAAAGGGACCAGCACTGTACCCTGTGGTAGCAGCAAGTTTCCACACAATCCACGTTACCGTGTTATTGTGCGAGATATTGAGCAGAATGAACCACGATTCTGGTTTGGCAATGACTTATGACTAGATCGAAAGACCATGTGACTTGTCTGTCTCGGCGCATGGCTTTGTAGCAACAAGGGAACTTCGATGGGTTACTTATGGTATGCAGAACCATCCTCCAGTCGACACTACTGGCTACTAGGAAGGTTTCAAATGAACAGCTTTCCAAGACCTTCGCTAGTCTCATGTTTCGTGGCAAAGTGAACGCAGCTCTACGTTTGTTGGATGAACAATCATCTGGTGGAGTTCTTCCTCTTAATGACGCTGTGTACACGGACCTCTTGCAAAAACATCCACCTGCACAACCTGAGGACCATTCCGTTATGATTGAAGGTGAAATTCCGTATGTCGATCCAGCGTTATTCGCCAACATCGACGAGGCAGCCATAGCAAAAGCAGCATTGAGGACTCAAGGTGCTGCTGTACTTCAGGTCTTGACGCACTTGGATGGCGACATATTTTGGTGTCTCACAACTATGGAGATGCTGCCAAAGACATACGATCCGCAATAGCGTTAATGGCGAGAACACTGGCAACCCAGAAGGTCGTTATTGGAGCAGATCAGACCACCAGCTTAGAGGTATCTTAGCGTGTCGCTTAATACCTCTGGATACCTCTGACCCTGGCGTCAATTGGAGAGGTTCTACGACGGATCATTGGAAAATCAATTGTCTTTGCCATCAAGCCACAAATTATGGATAGCGCAGGAGACTTAGAGCTATGTGCAGGACAACAATCAGGCTGCGAGGCAGCTGTTCACGCCAAGTCGGAGATTTTTGATGAAGAAGAAAAAGATGCTGTGTTACTGGTAGACGCCACCAATGCATTCAATTCCATCAACCGGACATGGACATGTTACATAACATTCAGTACATTTGTCCCGCAATGGCTGTTTATACGTTCAATTGTTATGTAACAGCTTCGAGATTGTTCGTGCAAGGTGGTAAAGAAATTGCATCAGCGGAAGGTACCACGCAAGATGATCCGTTAGCCATGCCGTTATACGCCGTCTCCGGTCTCCATCACTCCACTCCTGCTCATCATTAAATCTGATGAAGCTAGTGATGTAAAAAAGCATGTTGCGTACGCGGATGACCTTAGTGGTGCAGGTAAGCTGCTGCAGCGGCGTGCCTGTTGGAAGAATGGTGGCCGTGCATGATCCGAGTCTTGGTTACTACCCGCGAGCTGATAAGTCCTGGTTGATTGTGAAGCCACACCTGGAGAGAACTGCCATTGAGATTTTCGCTGGAACTAATGTAAGAATTTCAAGTGAAGGGGATAAGTACCTTGGAGGATATCTTGGATCGGATGACGGAAAAGATAAGTATATTAGTTCTTTAGTGAGCAAATGGTGCCAGCAACTTCACTTTTTGAGTGAAATTGCCAAATTCCAACCCGAAGCAGCATACACGGCTTTGTCTCTGGTTTTCGGCACAGATTTACTTGCCACATTCGTGCTGTTCCAGGTATCAAGACCGCGATGCAGCTTGTTGACGACACCATCAACCTGAAGCTCCTTCCTGCACTCCTCGAAAACCGTAGCTTGTCCATCCATGAGTGCCAATTGGTTTCGCTTCCAGCTCGTATGAAAGGTGTTGGTATTCCAATCTTCAACGACATCTGTGATGAAGAGCATTTGAACTTCACAACCATCTGTAACTCCACAACCACGCCTTCCATCTTTCTGCGCCTGTGGAAAATCGTTCACGGCTTTATCCATCGAAGACATAATGAGATCCGTGATCAACATGCTGCTGCTGTCGACGACGTTGCCTACGATGTTTCAATTGAGCCTTCCCTTGCTCCTTTGACTGGCGAGGTTCTTCCATCCAGTGCTAAGTCAGCCGATGACGCTAGAGTGGACATTGCTGCGAGAAGTTTCTGGCAGAGATGTAAAAAGGCTAAAAAGGCATTTTTTTATGTGAAGGTGTTTAATCCATACGCCTCAACACATCGACGCCAGACGTTGAGCATGGCTCCTTCACACCGGTCGTCTTCAGCGCCTTTGGTGGATGCGGAAGAGAAACCCAACATTTTCTCTCCTTTCTGAGTGCGACGCTTGCTGACAAGAAGAATCATTCTCCATCTATGGTGGTTAGCTGGTTACGACGAAAGATCGCCTTTGCTTTGCAGAGAGTTTGCGTGGTGTGTGTTCGTGGCAGTCGAAGTTGGAGGACTGCGTCCATCACATTGACTAATGACATTACTTTATCTGATTGGAACTCGAACATTAGCGAGTCTAGTTAAGTTGTTTTTGTAAATATATCGTCTGTAGAACTGTTATACTTAGTTTTAATGCATGATCGATTATTGTAAATTTCCCTAGTACTAATAAACGTTATATATTTTTTTTATTACTTTGAAATAAAGTCGAAATATCACATTTGGACAAAGTGCGCCCACTGTTTCTTTTCAGTGGTTATTGTCTAGCGCGTCGCAAGCAACAAACGAAGCTATTACGAAGATATATTTAAAATTTTAAATTGAGCAGCCCTCTTAAGTACTTCAAGTTTCAAGTCAGGCTTTCCTGTAAACATAAAGTAAGTACTGAGTGTATTTATATCATTTTGATCATAGGTTTGGATTTATTGAAACCTCCCATTGAGCACCGTTTATGTTTGACCTTAATAGGTCATTGTCATATTGTCATTTCGTTCGAACAATAAAAAACGACAGTCGAAAATTTGCCGCGATTGGAAAAATTTTGCAACGCTTGTACTGAAATAGACTGTTAATCTAGTTTGATACTTTGCTTTTCCATAGAACAAAGTTTCTAAAATGCGAGGTTTTTTGCTTCTAAGAATTTATACGTTTTGGCGGGAAATATTATGAACCCAGCGGTTACACCAAATATTTGCATTTTACCTAATTACATATTAGTTGAACGATTGCCTAATCTTCACACAGATTACTATGTTTTATATGACATTATATAAACTTAGAACCAGTAATAATTTAATTCTTAACATAGTTGAAAGTCATTAAATGTCTGTATAGAAAAATCTAATTAGCATGAAAGTTTTAAATGCCATTTCAATGGCTTTATACTTGCTTGTTTGGAAAAATACCTCCCCCCTAAAACAGAACAGAGAAGCCAGATATTTGTCATTGTGAAAAAGGCCATTTAAATCAGTCATTAGGTCAGTTGGCTTGAGACCACTGCACTTATGATTGTTGAACTAATTACCTTGCATCTTAATTGTTAGTGAAAGCAAAAATTCCAGGCCAGAAAAGCAGGGCCATAGCTAGAAGCCTAATTGGAAGGGTTTATATTCATATATTCATGTGCAAATAAGGGTAAAAAATCACTATCAAACGAAATCAGTCGGGCATAAGGCAAATATATGAATATGCACACCCCCAATTAAACTTCTAGCAATGCATGCATGGCCCTGCAGAAAAGAATGCTAAGTGAAATCAATAAATTAGTGAATTTCTTGAAAATTTCAAATATAACCTGATAATTCAGGATGTGGTATAATAACTGCTGAAAATAGACAAAAAAAACTCTCCTGATGTAGGTCCTTAGGTTTAGTCTTCAAGAAGTATTTTTGTCTATTTTTGGCAGTTCTTGCACCTCATTTAATGGAAAGTTGTTTGAGAATGCTGGCATGCTCTCCCTGGATATATTAATAATTAGGAGTCTTCATATTTTAAAAGTATGTGGATTTTTGAAGTTCTTATTATTTACACCAATTCTAAACGTATTACGATACCACCTGTATGAAAATCATACACATCCCAAAATTGAAGGCAGAACCAGTTGAGGAAAATGTATCAAGGAGTGATAGCATGATTTCACTTGAGATTAAGCCTTTATTAATTAAACCCTTTAGAAATAATTCTACTTCTATATACAAATCTTTGACCACACATTGGTCACATGTTCCTGTCAAAAATATAAGGATTACAAATCAAAGATACCTCTTTTTGGAATTATTTTATGTTAATTGTTACAATATATATGGAATGAAATATTTTTAGCTTTGATTTCAACCATTGTTTCACCAAGGGAACTTGGAACAAGATAAAACTCATTATGGTAAAGTTTATTTTAAAGTATTTATAATAAGATGTGATAAGATATAATGTGATGTTTTTTTAAAGTTTAAAATGTATTACTTTATTGGCATAGTTCTTGATCAGCTTGATGATCCCCTTGATCTCAAATGATGTCAAATTCATTGATAATAGTCTATGGATGTATGTTTAATATAAAACCTCTTGCATTATCATGCCTTAATTTGCATGGTGAATAAACCAGACCTTCATCACAACATTGCATGATCCTTATCAAAATGCTATGTGCAATATTCATACTGATGGAATTAGGTATGGTACTTGAGGGTCCGAAAATTGCATTTGCACAATGATTCCTGAAACGTGATATTTCCATTACACATATGCCTATAGGTTATTGGAATGATTTGTTTAATTAATATAATTTAAAAAATGTTGTGTTTTTACCATCAAATATAACTTTACTCCTTAATTAAATTTTTAATTTTATAGGTGGAATTACTTAATAATATATTCAAGAATAAAATATGGCCAATTATGTTACGGTTTGGTAATGTGGTGCTGAGAAAATTGGGATTTGATACAGTTGATGAGTTTGCTCATGATGACGACGGAACGGCAGATATGGTTCGTCAGATGAGGGCTGTAGATCAAGAATACAGCATTAAACTCACCAACTTAAAAGAACGGATGACGAAGTTACAGAATGAAAATAACGCGAAAAGCTCACAAATAGATGACATGAAAAAGAGACTCGATAGAATTGAAGAATCCCTCGCTCTTAACACAGCGAAGATTGCTGACGTGGAGCGAAGAAGCCCATATGCACATCACCTGATCCATATTGAAAGCTACCAGGGGGAACGACAAGATCAATAGGAAGGAACATTTCCCAAAATTCTAGCTGGATGAATGACACCTTTGTGACAATTAAGTTAATAAGGGTGCACTTTTTTCTTGTTTTAAAAATGTATTTGCACTGGTGATTGTAGATCATAGAAGCTATAGATAAGATGGCAACATATAACCATGTTTATGGCTTTGATGCCTGTAGTGTAAACACGTAGTGTATTCTATCTTTTCTCTTCGGTAAATAAAGTGTTTTGTATTGAAAACTAAACGAATATTTTATTTAGTGACAGTGATATTCAGTTAATCCTTTCATCAAATCCTTTCATCGAGTTTCATCCATTTTAACTCTTAATAGTAAGACCTATCGTTTTTGAGAAACTTTTGCTAGAATAAAATTTTGGATAAGATTTTTTGGTAAAATTTTAAAACTCCAATACAGTTCCTACTTTGTTCACAAAAGTATTTTGTTATCACATATCAAAACAATGTGCGTGTTTCTGGATTATTGACATGAATACGTTTTGTATTTTTAATCTTCCAGTGATCCAATGGGCACTAGACTACTTAATAGACTACTAAGTAGTATTTTCAATCAGTATTATTTATCCAGGATAGGCACATCATTGAAGATTTTTGTTTACTTGGTAAATTATGAATTATAAACTATGAACCTAAAATGACTTAATCCAACCTTTTTCTTTATTAACCTCGTTAAACCTCGCAAGCCAGGTTTTTCTAACTGCACCCAATTCGAAAATTTATTTATAAAAGGAAAGGCTTTGGCTTTGCAGCCTTTGCTAATAAGGGTGGATTTCCACTTGCAGAGAAAGGGTTCGCTGGCAAAACATTTGCATATTTTCTTTTGAATTTTGACAGAATAAAAAAGTTTAACATGACTGTTCTAATTTTAAAAGAAAATATGCAAATATAGGGCTAGCGAACCATTTCTCTGCAAGTCGCAAATTTGGGTGTTTGATATGGTAGAATGTACGAGTCAACCAGCACTTAGCTTAATGCAACTGGTGGAGCATTCCGCGAGAAGCTGCGACTCTGTTATCAATCATCCAAAGACATGTTCGAGCGGGTCGCTAGTATTTTCAGACAAGTGGGCAGCATCAAGGGCGTAGGAAGCATCCAGAAGTTGGGGGGGCACCAGCGTCTGGGACTCTGGGGGCACTTTTGGTTAATAAAAATGGCGGTTAAAATGGTTAATAAAGATATACAGGGACGGTTTGATTCGTATTTCTTGGGCTTTGTACTGCTAGGGGGGTCCGAGGGCACGCTCCCCCGAGAAAATTTTGAGATATAGGCCTCTGAAATGGCCACAAACCCCTCTCAATTTAAGGATTATTGGGAAAATTAAGGATTATTTTTTCAAAAAAAGGGCACTTTTGGTCCCTTGAAAAATCTTGGGGGGGCACGTGCCCCCAGTGCCCCCCCCTTCCTACGCCACTGGGCAGCATACAATCGTGTCGGAGAAATCGCGGGTTTGACGAACCGCACGGTGAATCACTCGCTGTTCTTCGTTGACCCAGTTACGGGTGTTCACGCTCAAAATATCGAAACATACTGAAAGTCAAACAGGGGCAAGATGAAGTTAAAGAGAATAAAAGGCATGAGACGCGAGATGCTGCCAGGATATCTGGTCGAGTTTATGTGGTGAGAACGGGCTGGAAAATAGGTTTGATTGTATTCTAGAAGCATTGAGATGAATAAATAATATTGGTTTATTCATCTCAATGTCTAGAAGCCATCGCGGAGCAATTATAGAATAGCTGGCCAACCCACATCTTAACAGTGAATGTCATATAGTCTTCTAGATACATGTACCTTGTTTTATGTTACTTAATCCATGAATTAGACTTCCTGAGATCAGAGAACAAGAATAAACTCTATTTTTAAAGAACAGGGCAGTTCTATACTCTAACATTGATCCTCTAACAGATCTTTAACATAATGGACTATTGGCCTGGTATTCTATAATTGTACCATTCTCCATATTAGGAGCTTATACAACAACTTTATTCCAAATAAAATCAATATTTCTGAGGGGTCTTATATTCAATTCAATTACAGTTAACGATCCCAATGGTGGGGGGGGGGGGTCGTTAAGTTAACCCAGTGAGATAGCCTGATCCCTGAAATCCAGCCTGACCTCCTAACCTTTGGCGCTATCCCACTGGTTCTTTAGCTGGTTTCTCCACTGAGGTTTTCTCTGGATAGTGGGAAGATGGAAATGAATGAAACGAGTTGTCAACAACCTCGTTCCCAGGGTCTTCTGTGTTGGGATGTCAAAAGTTGCAAAAGCATTGTGTAATATTTTCCTTTTAAAAAGTTTATTTTTACACGATGCTTGCAAATAGCTTTGAACATGATGCTAGATCTAGTTAAATTCTTATAAATTCTAATATATTTTTGAGGCAGACGTGTTTATTATGGCTGAAACGTCGATGGCTACGGAAACGTTTGTGGCCGAAGGAGCTGGGGAATGCGAACCTTTGGATTTTCAGGATTTTGAGGACGAAATACGGGAACTAATATGTCCCAAGGTCTAGTTCAACACTGCATTCTACACTGCATATTGTCTCAAAATTGTTTTAGTAGTCATAGCAAAAGGAGAGTGTTGCATTAACAGTTATTTTGCTTATTTAGTCAAGTTCTGATTCAATTAAAATTCACAAAAATTATTGCAACTAAAGTGAGCAAATTGCCAATTAGAATTTAGACCCAAATTTAGGCACTTTTCCTGAAATCAGTTAATCATTAACTTGCTATGTACTTCAAAACATTGGTCAACCAATATTTAAGGAACTTCTAAAAAGTAATTATTAAGTATTTTTTATCCAAATGATAGGTAGTCTAAATCTTACTGGTTTTATTTTTTATCCTCCAGGAGACCAAACAGGTTGCTTTGCTAAGAACATTGTCTGGTGATATTGAGCAGATTCAGGCAGATGAGATACTAGCATTGAAAGCAATCTTTGAAGATGACTTGCGGATGGTGGATGAGAGCACAGCAAAATATTTCAAGATCAAAATTAATCCTATTGCAGAAGAGTGCCATGATGATGAAGTGGTAGACCTGTGGTTTTGGTAAGTGCACAACTTTACCAGTAGTTTAGCTTATGTGGAATTGGTAAAATCCAAGGAAGCATTCTATGGGTAAGTTTGAAAACCAGAATTGAGATAGTTAATGTCATGCAGGTACAGTAATTTTGGGGCAGACTGAAACTAAATATTTCTAACCCTCATATAAATGAATTAATATCTCTTGTAATATCACCAGGTTCAATGTTATCAGTTCTTATCTAACAAGTTGTTGGCAAGTTAACCCTGACTTGATCACCCCTAGTACTTCAGATAGATTATTGTTTTGGTTGTTTTTTTTCAAATAAATATTCTGGAAGTTTAAGGATTTAAGCTTCACATTTCAGACAAATAGCAAATGCTGGAAAAGATCTTTCTTGCTAGAATTTTCCCTAAACTTCTGAGTTACTTCTCCCTCATTTGGTATTTTCTTCCTATTTTTAAATAAATGATCCTGTAACTTGCACACCACTAATGATCATGAGTCATGTAAATGAAAATCTATATTTCTCTAGCTTGCCATCCCAATATCCAGTTATTCCACCCATATTTGAGATTGAAGGCCACGGATCCTTGAGTTCTGCCAAAGCAGACAAACTTTATTCACTTCTCATGAAGGAAGCTTGTTCTCGTCTTAACACGCTCATGATTTATGATCTCATCGCAATTGCTCAGGAGTTTGTCCAGGAAACAATGAAAGAAGTTCGAGAGCGCAGGAAAACTGAAGAACTTTCTCGTAAAGATGAAAAGGTTTGCCTCCTAGATCGAGAATTATGTGTTTCTGGTTGATTAAGGACCAGCATTTTACTCATGACTTTTTGTTTTAGCCAAAAAAAGAAGAAACTAAAAGCGACAATGAAGAAACATGGGACGAATACAAGGATTATGGTGATATTGATTTGCGAGATACACAGAGATATATTGGACATATTCATCATGTTCTAGAAAAAGTCCCCAGTCATTTAAAAATACAATCGGTGAGAGCATAACATTAATAAAACCTAAATAGTGAAATGTCCTCAAGAAGTTAATTGCCACAAAAAAGTGTGAAACTGCACTGTTCTGCCTCAGTGACACTAATGTCAGTCTGATGGCCACCATAATCAATTTTTGGGTTTAGGGTAGTAATGGCAGGGGGTTCTTGGAGAGGGAGCTGTTAAAACTCATTCCTAAATTTTTGAACCTGTTGTCTGTCAGATCTCCCAAATGAAATCAAGTTCACAAGCTGCAGTTTTAAAATTTTCAAATTCACAAAACTCAATAAAAACGACTAATAATTGTAATACAGGTTCCTTGATTCATGTTACTTTAGCTTGAGAATATTATGAAGTACAATCTTGTTAGAAGATTCAATTCTGCCTGGGAGAAAATGTCTGTCAAGTATGAGAAAGAATCAAGGAAACACCGCGAACTGTATGTAACAAAACCAAAAGTGGCATTTCATGGAACACGAAAAGGAAATATACCAAACATAGGTATAGTGAGTTTTGAATGGTTGTTGAAATAATTGTTAAAAAAAGGACGCGTGCCCGGGCACCCACATGTGACATAATTATGGGTCTGCCAACTACTAGCAATAACCAATACTTGTGTATTTCAGTACGAAATGGTCTATTGGTTCCGGGAGGAAAAAGTGGTGTTGAAGTTGCACATGGCTCATCTCTTGGTGTTGGGATATATTTATCACCCTCTCCTGAATACAGTTTTAAGTGAGTTCACGTCACTGACCTATATTAGATGGACTGAGCGCGCGACCTATTTAATCAGGAGCTGGATGGTACCACCGTTGCTCACGTCATATAGGTCCTTGCCACTGCCTTGCTCTCACGCGCGCGTAAATTTGCTAACCGAAAATAACTGAAAATAAAATATATAGGTCAGTGGTTCATGTGCATTATTTGACATTGTCAGGTAATTTCGTAAAGAGTCAGGTCGCACTACCCCCCCCCCCGCGTTAACGAAAGGGGCCTCCCTACTGGTAATCGATTTCGAGCTGGCCATGCGTTTTTCTTTAATATTTTTTCGAAAATTATAATTTCTTGTAGTTATTGTGACATGGGAGGCAAAGTATTAGTCTGCGCTGTTCTCCAAGGTCATGTGAGGAGTGTCGATAGTGGTAGGTAGTCGTATAGGTCATCATAGAACCTTCTTCAGAACCAAACTAGGATGTATGTTTGTGGACGAATGATAATGGCTGATTAACGGCTTCATTTTTTAGCGTTTTCCCGTTCTTGCAAATGTGACTGTATTACTTGTGGTGACGAGATGGTTATTTTTGACGCCAGGCATGTATGTATTTAGAGGTTTGTTCATCTATGAAAACAAAGTTGAAACAATTTACTTCCAGTTGGGTTGGCGATCTTCTGATTCTTATTAGCTACTTACATTTCCAGGTATTGCCGTGCTACGTGATCACGCTTGTACCACGTGATAGTCAGGTTAGCGTGGACGAGAATGTCGCAAAGACCCTGCAGAAAACACGAGAAACAAAGGATGAACGATTGCAAAGAATAACTGCTAAGGTAATTGGATAGAACTTTTATAGTTACAACGTAAAGGAGGTCCATCGGGGATAATACTTTAGAGATAATACTGATAATATTTTTCAAGCGTTGGTTATATTATTTTGCTCGCTTACTCCCCCTGTTGCCTGAAATCAAATTAGTTTTAGCTGAAATACTTCATCACTCCAAACGTTCAGATATATTTCAGAATAAAGAATGTGAGTGAAATTTTCTATTTTGGTGTGGAAGTATTTTGAAACTACGAAAATAATTTACAGTCATTCTTATTTCCCACCAAATAGAAATGGTAGTTTTTCATTTGCTTCATTTTGATATACAAACGGACGTTTGGCGTATCTCTGCTCATAGCTGCAAAAAATTAAATGTCAGAGCCTTCCAATTTACTTCAATTCATTGTCATCAAGTATTTCACTTTCCCCTTTTATGAACCAGCATTGTCATTAGAAATTTCTATAGAGTAGATGATATTAGAGGTTAAGATGCCCCGTTTTCGGTATACGGGTATGGGTAGCCATAATTTGTTCATTGGAATTTCTTGTTGTTTGTACGTTTCATGATACAAATCATGCTTACCTCAAAAGGCTAAAGTCTACTGGAAAAGACTTGTCGAGTTAATCTTCGAAAAAAATGAAAAACACTGATGGAAATTCATTGAACAAAATAAGGCTATATCCGTACACCGGAACCGGGGTATCTTAACCTCTCTATTACATCGTTTTATTTCGTCTTTCATTTAACAATTGTCAAAAATTTTAGTGCATTAAATGATGGTCAACTTTAGAAATAGAATTTGTTTATTTTACTGCAAAAGCACGACTACTAATATATGTATGATTACTTTGATAACCCCTGGCAGATGCATTGCTACATGAATAATTGAAACGTTTGGTATTTTAGGCCAAGAAATTTTTTCCCTATGGTTTTGGTCCAGGAGACAGAGTTCAAATTCTTGATGCAGCTGACTCGGATGATGATGAAGATGAAGGTGGATCATATCAGGTACGAAAATGGTGGATTATATCAGAAGCGTTGTATCAAGGATTGCACTTAGACTTGCAATGACTGTAGGTTTTATTTTCCAACTATACGGTAGAATGAAAGATTTGAAGATATTCAAACTGCAAACGAGTACCAAAATGAGAAAGATATGTATTACGGCGATTATTGATGAGATAGATTGGTGCAAAATTACGAATCCCAATAATCCAGGTTTGTTAGCATTTTTCATTTGTTATCATGCAGTATACATGCATTACAGTATATAATTATATTTGAATCACAACGCCACAGCCCATGCATAGGCAGCCCAGAAATGTTTTCGTTCTCGTGGCGCTCGCGCGTGTACGCAAGTCTACTCGGTCTATTATTATAACACTCTGTCACAGTTCGGTAATAATAATAGACCGAGTATAATAGACCGAGTATAATAGACCGAGTATAATAGACCGAGTATAGACTCGCGTACACGCGCGAGCGCCACGAGAACGAAAACGTTTCTGGGCTGCCTATGCACAGCCTGAAACAACTTGCCGAACTTGAATCATCTAATTTGTGTAGTGTAATGTAATGCTTGTAAGTTTCCAATTACGATGCAAAATTTGGGTAAAAATAGGATTTTTAAAGTTTAACCCTAAATAGATATTATGGTATATTTGCCTTGTTAGAGCCTGCGGAATTTAGCCTGCGTTATATTATTCGTGTAGAAATTGAACCCCGCACTGTTCAAATATCGGCAATTAAAGTATGTACATGCATATATTACATATATTATCATGTTCCCGAAAACTGCAATCTACATAATTAAACGAAGGTCTGCCGAGAGCCTTAAAAAGTATAATCTCCAACGTCAACAAATACTTGAAATGTAGTTCTACTGACAGTATTGCCAAAACCGTCTAAATAATCAGACACAACTCTGAACTGGTAAAATCCAGGATCGTTGAACACTACTCTGTTATACAATATCCCAGTTTGGTCAATCTGATAGACGCCAAAAAGATGGTTACTTTCTTGTACTGGATAAAAGTAGATCGCACAGAACATATCGGTTGTTTGGGGGATATAGGGTTGGAGGTTTAGGAAGTCTGTGTTTACTGGGAGATCACGAGGTATACTAATGGATGTGTGTTGTAGTTTGGTGTATTGAGAGGGGCATTGGTTGGCTTGATAGAAGCACTGCATTGTACAGTAGCTAGATAAAGATATAGTAATAAAGGAATGATAGATGTTAATCACACATGTTAAACGAGTTTTTTGTGTTTTGTCGATGCATTTGAAGATTGATTGGTACATACAACTTTATATTGGGTCGAATCGTGGAGAAGTCCGTTTTTCTCTCTATTTTAGGCAGTTGTTAAGTACTAGACATAATGCGAAGTTCTTAAAGCATAATTTTTCATTTTTAGTCACCTACCCATCAGTGGTTGGATAGTAACTTTGTGGACATGAAACATTTAAACAATGATATTTTCCCAGAGTATTGAAGCATTCTCGGGTTTCACATGCATGTTCTCCTGTCAAACACTCGTTAATATCTAAAAAACACAAATTATTGCCTCGTTAGAAATTGTACTAAAGAAATAAGTTACGTCTCTTAATCTTAACTGTACGTGACTATAGCTTAGTTTCCCGTTGGAATTAATATCAAATGTGAGATTAGTGAGTTTTTATAATTTATTACATGCAGAATTAACTTTTAAATCCAGTTTAAAATCAATGCCAACGCTCATTAATAATTTGTAACCGAATTATGCATGTATATAGCCTTTAGGTGAATTGATAATGTGTATATATAACAAACAATATTGATATTATGAAAATTTTATTTTGAATGAATGTTAAATGAATTTTAGTTCTACATTTCTAATTTAATATATTACAAGTATTTATATATTAATAAATAAATATTATGTGTACCATATATTTATATATCTTACTATTCCAGATAATCTAAAAACACACAGAAAATGACTTTGATTGTTGTCAAATAAAAATCCATTTTTCAAAAACAAAACAACTTTTTCGGTTTCAAATTTATATCAGAGCTATAGTCCTCTAACTGAACATAATTACATTTTACCTAGTTTCATAAAGAATAACAATAAATACTGCGTATAGTGGTTTCTATTTGGGCCACCCTTTAGTGCACTGATTGGCCAAAATACAAGCGTGATATCACCTGTTTACCTAGACATGATATTTCATCCCAATGTAGTCTATATCCTCTGGGGCATTCGCATCTTCCTGTTGCCGTATTACATTGATACTGACATCTTCCATATCCTCGAAGAGGACAGCCATTTATACCTGCAATACAAGGAATGATCGGCTATTCACCCTGTATCTAGACAGAACATGTTTCTGAACAATTCTCGTTAGGGAATTTAAGATCTGGGTAGTGGTCAATGCATGGGGTACGAAGGAAAGTAAGTGGGTGGCTTAAGATTTCCGAGGACTCGACTTAGTACACTGGCGATTTCAGACGGCGGTTTCCTCCTCCAATAGTGTATGCTATAAATATACCCTAGAGAGAGAAAATGGTTGACACAAATCGTGATCAGGAATTCAAAAATTTGAGATGAAGTTAGTTATCTTCAAAAAATCACACTTATCTTCATTAATGCATAAACTTTTGCACAACACTGCACAACGCAGTGTTCTCTCCCCCCCCCGGCCCCGGTTCTACGTTCCCGTTAATAGCAGTCGTAAACCAGAAAAATTTCGTTTCCTTGTAATTCGGGTACTTCTAGTAAAATCAACTGTTATCAGAACTGATACAATAATCCAGTAATGGTAGTACATAAGTGATAAGTAATGTTGAAATTATTTTGTTTCATGGTAAAGTTATTTCTTACGTAAACAAGTAGTGCCGTCATTGGCTAGTCGTGATCCCCGTGGACACAAACATCGAAATCCACCAACTGTATTTTCACACATATGTTTACACCTCTGTGGCTGTTCCAGACACTCGTCCACGTCTAGACACAACGGAAAAGTTTTGTTTTCATTTCGTTTTTGCAAAATGGAATTAGGAAGCGTGTAAACTTGTTTCTAGGTAGTTCATACATAATGACATCCTTCATTATTACCTTTACAATACCCATTTTCGTCGCGTTTAAATCCGACCATGCATTTATCTAAACAACGATAACTTCCAGGAATATTGACGCAATCTTTGCCACCACAAATCGTAGAATATTTAACACATTCATCAACATCTAACAATAGAATATCGTATGCGTTGTTTCGTTTAACTGATATTGACGACGATTTTTTTGTGAAGAGATAAAATACAGCAGCAATCTCTACGTGCAATCACCTATACACGAATCGTTTTCATCACGTGTAAATCCACGTGAACACTTCTTCAGACATCTGTAGTTTCCTGGGGTGTTTATACAATTTTGATCGCCACAAATTGTTGGATTTTGTAAACATTCATCTGTATCTGAGAATGAAGCATTTTACAATATAATAATATGTTTATGTCAGGGTGTGTGTACAAAACGCGCAGGTATATAGAAATTAGGAACACTGCAATATCATCGCAACCAGGATCCGCCCCTGAGAATGGATGGGTCAAATTTAAAACGCTAAACGAAGAAAAGTAACGGGTGAAATTTGATTAGCTATTAGGCAGTTAATAAAATTTCATCCTTACCAATTCTAACCGTACCGTACCAAAAATTGTGCGCAGTGTAAAAGGGGCTTTATTAACAGATTTTCATACTAACCTTGGCACGAGCCATCTTCATCACGGGTATATCCACGTGAGCATTTTTCAAGACAACGATAACCACCTTGGATATTAAAACATTCCCGACCTCCACAGATGGAAGAATACTTGGAACATTCGTTCGTATCTGTCAGTGGTAAATACATCAATAGTGAATGGATGAATCCATTGTATTCATGAGACCACCACAGTGGGAGACTGATAAACAACGGTAAACAACGGTAACCAATCTTCATGCGTACATTACAACAAAAATATCCTTCACCAAACCTTCACAATCACCATTCTTTTTCCGTTCGAATCCTCGAGGACAATTTTCCAGGCAACGATAGCTTCCTTGAATATTGACACATTCCTTACTACCACATATTGAAGCGTACTTCAAGCATTCGTTCACATCTAAAAATGTACACACGGTAAAAAAGTACAGCGGTCTACATTCCATATTATTTTACGCAAACAAATCCTTCAATGGGACCGCATAGAGTGATTGAAACTCGTTTACAAGGCACCTAATAAATTCGTTTTGTCTGGATAAATATTCGTGCTGATAGGGTTCCTGTAAACACCGGAACCGCTCCTTCCTCACAGGACTTTTGCTCCCATGGGTTTTTATCTCGACAGGTTCTCGTCCGAGTAAACGTAAAAATCAGCGGGAATGTGATTATGACAATAATAGACCTTATGCATAATGACCTATCAAGCCGTGACGCCTGCAGGGAATTCTGGTTTTTGTAGTCGGGAAATTCAAGCTTCAAAATTTCCCGCCGTGACTACTAAAACCAGAATTCCCTGCAGGTGTCACTGCTTGTTACGTCATTATGCATAAAGTCTATTTGATCCATTGATTTGATCTGGCGCCACGAGTGCTGAAAAGCACGCCAACAAGGCTCATACACACGTAACACACCTACCTTTACAATAACCATTCTCATCACGCGTAAAACCTTGTAAACACTTTTCCTGACAGCGATAACTTCCTGGGGTGTTTAAACATTCCTCTTCACCACAAATTATTGGATTTTGAGAGCATTCGTTTATATCTGGGAGAAAATATGGTGAACATTACCTAAGTGCTGGGGAATCTTGGGAGTTTATTTGAAGACAAGGATGTTTCCATTAGATATTTCACACTTATTTGTTATATATTGTACTAACTGACCACATGCACATCTCTTTAACAAAGGTGTATATGAATGCTTACCAATGCACTTATTTCTTCTTCCTTGAAAACCTTGACGACAAACCTTTATACAACGATAACTTCCACGAGTATTTACACATCTGCGATCTCCACAAATGCCATCATGTTGAACACATTCATCAACATCTAAGGATATTATCAAGGTCAATTTTAAAATGTAAATATTTAGGTATATAGCATGACTCATTCTAGATACAAAAGGATACAGAACTCTCCAACCCTCCAACAACTTAGGAACTATTGACACATTTTTGTCGATTTTAGGCAGTTGTTAAACCACGTTATTTGAAGACGCTGCCACGATGCACTTTGTTTTATAAACCGCGGTTGATTTATATAGGAACGTATTTTCCGTTTTCTCCGTGATAGACATTGATAGATAAAGGAAAATAGTTTCTTAACAATATGTCATGAGTATAATATTTCTTACCAGTACAAACACCTCTTGTCGCTTCATAACCTTCTGAACATTTCTTCTCGCAGGTAAATCCGTAAGGTAGGTCAAGACATCGTTCTTCAGATTTACAGTCGTGAACTCCGCGCGTGCATTCATCGATTTCTGATGATGCGGAAACAAGAATAAAAATAAATAAATATGAATAATGATAATAAGAAGAGAAGAATAAGAGTGAATATGTTTTTTCTTTTTTACAAAAATATTATTTCGAAACAAACTACAAAACAAAACGGAACCGACTAGCTTTGATTATGGCTGAATAGCTACACAAATGTCGTTTTAAACTTCTTCCATATACAAAGTTTCAGTTTAATTCATTTATTTCATTTAATCTCATTTGTCACAACACAATACAATTATTACGCATATACATGTACAATAACAGAGGACATAAGTGTGACAGAGGAAAGGAACAGGACTTGCGTCCCAATTGACACCTGACCCCAATATTATAACTGGAATTTGCCACTTGTCGCCCAGTTTACACTTCATTTATGTTACATTTTAACATCTTACCTGGTATAACCTCCACAGAGTGACTTGGTTTAAATTCTCCCCAACTCTCACTAATTGCCTCCACCCTCAAGGTATGCTTTCCATTACTACGAACAGTAATGCTCCAGTTTCCAGGTCGTGGATCGTTGATTAATACAGAAACTACTGAGTCCATGTTTAACAATACATCGACATTATCATCCTTAAGAAACACCAATTCACCCGAACTATCCCTAATCGTGACCTCAATCTCCTCACCGCTGACAGTTATTACGACTATGTCCATAACTTCGTCAACCTCAACAACATAAGTACGCTCCCCCCTGGTAAGTTTATCTACGGAGTAAATGTTTCTACGATTTGGGTTAATAGAAACTTCAACGAATTCCCAGATTTTTCTAACTTCGGATTTATTTAGATTAACAATTTGTCCTGAGGATAAAGTTGCTATTTTTTCGTAAGTTTCCTGATCTGTGAAGTTGTTGTCAAGTCCACAGTTTCCAGTCAAAATGAAATTTATTCTGATTTTCTTTTCCTTCACAAGTCGTACAACTTCGGGCAGTACTCGGTAATCTTTAGCCTCGGCGTCTGTGAAAACGTAAATAACCGAGCCAGGAAGACTAAGTTCTAAGGCCTTTTTTATTGCTGTGACGCTCATTTCTGGGCAATCTTTCCCGCCACGCACGTAGATATTATTTAAGGCGTTTAGAAACTTCACTGGGTCCTTCGTTTGGAAGGCTGGTCCCACGTCTATCAAATAGAAGGTGATTTTAATGTTATCAGCAGTAAACGTTCTTCTTACATATTGTCTCAGCGATGACAAATTGGGAATACTTGTAGGAAACGTGTGGGGACTGTGGAAGATGGATTTTTAGGATTTTTACAGCGAGTAGTAATGGTACTCTTCCCTTGCTCACGCGGAAACCAAAGTGAAATTGCAATATATGCAGGGAGCCCCCCTCCTTTAGACATTTAGGCAATGGAGGGTGAAAAGCAAATGTATTAATGAAAACCAAGCACTATTACCATTTAATCATTTTAACACAGACACTATATTTTCGATGAGAAAATTTTGAAAGTAAACACAAGTTATATACCTATGCAGTCAGGGGTATGGTGAATTAACAAGGGCAACAATTTACTCTTTGTTTATTCGAATACCGAATTCCTATTGCTGAATGCCGCAATTAGCGAGAGCGGAGAGTCTGTCAGTTTTATCACATGTGGTTTTATATTGTGCTACACAGTTTGGGCAACTAATGTTAAATGGGTGCACAGTGATAACGTGCGCAAATATGGCGGGATGATTCGGGAGATTAGGTGTGCGTTTTAACAAAAGAGATTCCGTTTTAAACAAAGTCGTAGAAGCAAGAGAGTGAGAATAGGCAGCCGCATTAGCCAACGGCAAAAATTAATTCCATGTTGAAAGACAATTGTATTCAATATTAGAGAGCTGAATTCTATGGGCACGTCGGAGTGAAGCGACTTTTCGTCGCTATTTGGGTATTCAATGCTTCAGTATACAGAATGTACAATGCCTTGAATGGGCATAATTTCTGTTGACGAGATTAAACCCATTGAACGTGTTTGCTATCCTTCACTAGCTTCTATCGTTCTATGGCCAATGATTTTGCATTTTATTTCACAGCAGAGCTTTTAGTTCCCCTTCAACATACGAATCTTAGCCTTTGTCAGGGTAACCTTCCATGCAATTAGGATAATTATTAAACTCTATGGAGTAATTAGATCACACAGCCAGAGAGCGGCAATTATCAGGAATATCATAGGTGCCTGATGACCTTTGAAATATACTGATTGGTGAAAATACTGTCGCAAGATATGCAAATTATCTTGTTCACTTTTTAACACTTCATCAACGAGGGTACTATGAATGGTCGTAATTACCTTCACGGGAATATTTTTTATACTAATTCCCTAAATTGCACAAGTCGGCTTCGTGTATCCGACATAGCGTGAATGCTAATGATGATATATAGACTGCTGTCAGGGGAGGTTTCCAGCTCCTTGTTGTGATAATTATCTGATTATGTCAAACTATAAACTATTTATCGTTGTTGCGTCAATTGAAATAAAAAACTAGTCTGTGAATGCATTCGAAGATAACCAGTTCTGTGTGAACGTTTGAATACCAAGGTGGGGAGAAAAGTCCAAATTATAGTGAATGACCCACCTCAGTTATATAAGAACGAACGTTTACAAATCAGAATTGATTACTTGCCTTTGCGCAGAACATCGCATGTTTGATTGGTTTGAAACGGTTCTATATCCCTCAACCCTCGCGAGATTTTGGTTTTGGAAAGTGGAACATATAGCAATAAAAGTTTGAGATAATCTGAGCACTGAGGCTCTATAAATATAGTACGTCTACAGTCCGTTCTCATTCTTCATTTATGGGTTATGGTCAGTATGGTGCATGTCTAGCTGTCTATTAAAATGCTTCAAGAAACCACAGTTCTATAAATAACTATCCCCCATGTTAATTCAACATACTTTTTATATTCTTTTTTAAAAACCTACCATTTGCATCACCTATAAACTTCTTACATAGTGTTCCCTAACCCAAACGACTACGTATCTTTATGGGCGTCTATTTAGTCTGATAAACTGCCACCACAAGACATATAATTTGTCATCAGTAAATACAAGTTTAATATTATCTACCACTCCTAAAACTTTGCCTTACCAGGATCGCGGAATGGTACCAGAATGTAATTCCGAACTGGCGAATCACCAGTATTTATAGTCCTATTAAATATTCTCTTAGCACCAGCGCGAACTTGTACCAGATCATCGTACATGCTCCCTGTGCGGTCAAACACAAATGCCAACGAAATACTTGTATTTGCCAATATTTCATCAACGTTGGATGTGTTCTGCAAGAGTTGTTTCGTATATTCGCTACCCCGAACCTTGTACCAGCTTACCGCTAGCACGAGGCGAAAGACCAACCCTAAAATCCATAGCTTGTGATCCATTTTTTAGCTTCAAGTCATTACGGCAAATTACATGTACAGGATGAGTTATCACAGCACGGCTCCTCTATTTATGAGCTGTTTTTTGCCTTTGGCTGAGCTATCAGATTTCTTGTATGATTGGAAAATGATTTTCATCTACTGTTGTTTATTTTACGTGATTTCTTACGTCTCTGTGACAGCGATGAAGATTAGGTCTCGAACATGGGAATCTAATCACGAAATACCTAGTATAACTTCTTTTATACATCGTATTCAATTTTCGTGACTGTCTCTTGATCTGATGAATTGCTAGACGAGGATTGCCTGTGTTGCCGTTGATATTTGTATGTCTTTATTGAGGTGATTTTTGTAGGAGACGCTTTTTTTTCTCTGCGCATTTCTGCTGTATGTTCTGTATGTCTATGGCATGGTCCTATACGCGTATACGTCTTCGGACATCGGGAGTGGTTTACAAAAGTAGAGCTAAGCAACGTCTAGTCCAGAGGTCATAATTTAATATAAACGGCAAAAATAATAATGGTCAGTTCGCCCGTGGTACTAATTCAGGTAGCTTCTGCAGTTCTGTATACGTTGCCTAGTAGTTAGTTAGGACTCGACGCCAGTTAGTATACCTAAAGCAAGTAATCAACTGACGTGCTTGAACTAAAAAAGCTGGTCAAATATTTCGTACTACTCATGTTTTAGAATTGGCCCAAGAAAGTGAAAGCCTCACACTGATCTTTGGGGACCGCCTGCAATGCAGGCTAACTGATCTTTAGCAGCGCGGTGTTTTCGACCTCGTTAGTTATTTTCATCAACCAAACCGATGTGAGACTTTTAAATCAAAAGCTCATGTATGGAGAAAGGGAAAATTGCCCTGAGTGATTATTAAACCTATCTAATTAATAAGCAAAGTCAATTCAATGAAGACCCAATACGTGTGGTAACAAATTGACACTGTATGTCGGAAATGAACAGCTTTTTTCGGAAATGCCTTTTTTTGAAGGATCTAGTCTAGAAAAGCAGCACTTAGGACAAATTTGAAAATGAATAAAGACAAGGCCGCGTGCAGCGCGCAAATATGTACTAGGGAGTAGGGAATCGAAAAGGCGAAAATTGCGTAATGTCTGTTTGGCAGATGGAAACAAGTGAAACCTGTCAACGTTCTCTTTCTCATTTTCCTAAATGGCGGACAAGGTGACAGGAAAGAAATTTGCATTTCAAATATTTGAATTTTAATTTCTCGATCGAAATTTACATTACGTGGCTCAGCTTCAATGGTCCTACGCCATTTGCAATAAAATATTTCTACTTTGGTGTGAAATTGCGTTTACTTAGGGACGATCAAAAATGTTTCGTGTTTCAAAGTTTGCACTTTTGGCACCTGTAGTACTGTTTCTGCTTTTGAAAGTTGAAGGTAAGAAAAAATGCCTTTATCTAGCAATTTAGTCAGCCGTTATCTAACCTAGTTTGTTATCTAACATGTAGTCGATGGGCAGGACATAATGTTTCGGCATTTTGACAAGCTTGTTGTAGTTTTATTTTAACTTTTAACTGCTTAGCAACTACAAAACCTAGAATTTCTAGGTTTTGAAGACATAGCTGGCGGCGACAATATTCATGCATTATACTATTTTATACAATAAGGCAATATTTTATTTGTCTCCCCCGTTAGGCGACAAGTTGTATGCGTTCTATACGTAATAAAAAATGTTCAGTTGTTACAATAGTTTGATTTATTTGATTTTATTTGATTTATCATATAATATTTATATTAGAGGTTGCTATTAGCAATGATTTTAACAAATTTGTGTTTTTAATAATACAAATTTTCTGTTTAACTTTAACAGTTTAACTGCCATATTGGGACAACAGTATGGAGTTAGCAAGGCCAGAAAATGTTTGAGACACAGTTTGACAGACAGTTGATGCGTCAAACTTTCACATTATAGCCGCAATTTCTTAACAATATTGATTGGATTTATTTAGCTATGTATCTTTGGCTTAGACAAATGGCTTGTTTTCACATATAGCCAGGAAGCAGCATGACAGTGTCTCTGAATAACTGCTCTTTAAATTCAATTAAGCAACTGCCTAAAATATATATGAAAAAGTGTCATGTGAAATTTAGAAGGTTACTTAACCGCATTTGATGAGAGATTGCTTGCACAATGTTACTGATTATATCAGCAGGAATGAAATGAAATCACTGTTAAAAATGTAAAAATTGCCCTAAAATCACAGTTGATTTAATTTATACCCTTGCAAACAAAGTTAAAAGGTCCAAAATCATGCCTAGGAAATTGCATTGACATTTTCTGTGTTGGTCTTAAAAGCGTAAATAAAATGTTTATGCTCATTCATAAAACTACATGAAAACTGATGTTGTGATTTAACCATAGGCAGCCCAGAAATGTTGTCTGACTTGTCTCACACATGTATGCTCTCGCCACAAGAACAAAAACATTTCTGGGCTGCCTATATGATTTAATATAATTTTAAAAATATTGTATCTAACACATACACATATTTTGAACACATACTTTGAACACATATTGTATGCATATAAAAATTAACACATTTTTAAAATTTTACCAAATAGCAAAATCAACTGCAAAACCAACTCCAAAGCCATCTCCAAAACCATCCCTAAATCAAACGAAAAATGATATTGCTGAAACCAAAACCCCCAAATTAAATGCAACAGCAAAGTCTTCTCTTGCAACTTTACGCAGCAATGTGTCCACAACATCAACAATGAAAACATCTCCAACCTATGTTGCACCTCATTTCAGTGGAATGTTGAAGCGCCTTATTTATGTGGTGAGTCTTATCATAAACCAATATTTGGAGCCACTGTAATTTGTGTCTCAACTACCAAAAGAAAAAAGCAAGTGCGAAACAGCCTTGTTTCTGACATTCTCAAATAAAAGGGATTTGAAGATTTTCAGTGATTCTTGTGCAACTACGGCACTCTCAAAAATGTAATATTTATCCATTGTGCATCTCTTACATATTATTATGTATATTAATTAGAACTTTTTTTTGTTTAGCTTTCTAATGTTGCTTATACATTTTAGACATTAATTTTGTCAGCAATCATCGGGGGCTACTTTTTGATAAAATTCTGTCGCTCTGGAAGACGTAAACCAAGAAAGTAAGTTGACATGTATCTTCCCACAATTTATGTTACTGTGTTGGTTTGGCAGATGCAAAAAAAAATTGACAAGGTTACATTTGCACGAACCACAGAGAAGAGGAGATTGGGAGTATATAGCCTGTAAATTGAGGGTATATAGCACCTATCTATGTTTTCGGCTGGCCCCCATTGAAAGGGGTATATAAAGGTTCATTCACTATGTAAGAAAAGGAAAGATCATAGACACATTTTTGGGCACATCCCCATTAACCCTACTACATATGCTTCACTGCTTCAATTCACGTTTGATGCTCAAATATTCTCAATTCTAAATCTTACTGAAAAGCTCTCTATTCTCAGGTATGGTGTGGTGAAGACACCAGGTGATATGGAAATGAGACCATTAGAGAGTGATGATGATGATGATGATGAAGATGTTACAATGTTTAACAGGAAAGACTAAGTTTCGAGAACAAAGGATGTAAATATGTGATTTGCCTAGCAAAATGAAAATAATTCAACGTCAAGTGTACTCTAGTGCTACACTGCTGAAGTTTAGTTTATGGTGATTAACTGTTATTTTCATGATAGCAAAAGCACTCAATCCTATCATTACCTTTCAAATTACCATAGATAAAAATTCATGATTTCATGTTGATGTTCAAAAAATGTTAACTTTGATACATTTTACAAAGAGGACAGTGTTTAAGGTAAGGCTTAATACGTTTCATCTGTCATGGTGACCTGTCTTTATCAGTTAGCATTCACAGATATGAACATTCAAACACTTCACATAAGCCCTAAGATTTTGAAAAATTTGTTTGTGCAAAAGTAATATTAGCAAAAATTAGTTTCAGATTTTCAAGGATAACAACTGCTAAATATTTTCTTTTTGTACTGGAGAATTTTCTGTATATTTCTAATGTTCTCTGTATTCAAAATCCTAATCTTCAGCAACTTTATCACTATTCAATACGTTTGAGAGTGAAAACGTTTCTGAGGATCAGGTTCTTACAACAAAGATGTTTAGTATAACTTTAATATTATATTTCTTCCCAAAATGACACGAGTGAAATATCCTTTTAAGGCTAAAATGTTTTCACCAGAGCATGATACAACATTTGAAACAGTTTCATGGAACTTCCTTTAACACGTCAGGTAATGCCAAGTTTATCAAATACAGAGCACAAACGTACATTATGTTATAAATCAGGTTAATTAAACTAATTCGTTTGTTCCATACTACTACTTTTTCCACAGTTCCAACGGGTTTAGCTCGGCTGTGATTAAATTATAAGGTCTGTATTGTGGTATAATTATAATTAGTGGTACGAGAGAAACTTACGTGTAAGCCTATCACAGAAAATAAACATACACACAAAACTTGTACTCAAAACTCTTATTTTCTTAGTACTGTATATACACAGATGGAATTTTCTATTGAAGACTGTTGAGTCTATCTGAAAAATATCTAACGTGATTTTTTAGGTAGTCTCCTTGAAATGACAAATAACCTCAGCTGCCTATTTTTTGGTATTATACCAATATTGAATGTACCCTGAAAAGGCTAAATGAACTGCACGTTCGAGATATAAATCATCTACTGTTTAGTATCATGTGTAGTCTCCCAGTCTATATCAAACTTGCTGTTTTTTAGAGTGAAAACACTCAATTTACTGCCACCAAAATCAGGCTCATCCCAAGCTGAAGAACAATCAAATCGGTTAAAATAACTAATCTGTTTTGCTTTTCTACGCAAAGCCTGGATACGTCTATACCGTCTGACTAGGAGAAACATTGCTATGCAGAACATTAGGGTTAATACAACCCCGCCAGCAACAATTAAACCAAGATGCAACCTTTCCGCTTTAGTTGCAATATCGTCTGTTTCAGAAGTTGGACCACCATTTGAAGCTGATGAGCATAGGGGTTCCTGTGTTGCTGTTGGTATGAGAAGACGTTGCGCAACAGTTGCGCAACTAAGACTTATAATATAAGCGGAACTTTTCGCATAATGAACAACAGATACGAGCCTGTCGTTATAAATATACGTTGCATTTTTCGTTCTTTTCTCTAAATGCGCTAAAATACACGATGTTGTAGATGTGATGGCACTGGGCAAAACCAAAGTATCTGTTACCGCAAGTGACTTGCGTAACATCGATGATACGGTGAAGTGCGTTACCGGCGTGAGTTTGCTCGTCGGGATTAAACTCATAGCATGTCCTGTCCTTACTTTTGTCGGTGTTACGTAAATCGTCGAACGATTCACGACGACGCTACGAGGGCACAAATCCAAGACATCGGTCCTCGTTCGTGACGGTACGATGAGATTTCGCGAAGATGGCATTAGCGGTGGCGTGACCGGATAAGACGTGATGGTAATTTTAGGAAAATATGACGAGAATGCGCTAGAAGTGGTGTAATTCCTCGTTGGAATATGTCGTCTTTTTCTGTGATGGGTTTCATCAGCTTCTCTTTCCCCAGCGCGCAGCTGTACATCACCCCTTTCTCGCGCCAACAAGCCATTTTGCTTGGTACAAATAAATGCAATCGAATGTCTACTTTTAGTCGGAGTCCAGGCATTAGAAATAATATTGGTCCTGTCCCCATTAAGTGCTGTACTGTTTATAAAATATACAACAACTCCTGATGGAAATATTTTTCTTAGTTTACCAAATTTTATCCGCTGATAATGTGAAAGATATCTCGATCCTTCGTTAGGTAAAATACAATGAAGATCAAATTCATCAATTTTTCCCCGACTAATGTCGCATTTTCGGCTTGTAAAGTGTACATAGTGTTGCGTGGTATTGAGTGTGTTTAGCACGCACTGTTTTGCTCCACTTTGACCAATATTTGGTATTGTCCAACATTTTAATTCGCTGTTCTTGATCGCAGGATTTTCTTGAATCCATGGATGATGTCTAAAGACAATATGACAGAAATATATCGCGTTTCCAGTGCTAAAATTTAGACAGAGCCTATTTGGAAGTGAATTGAACAGAACAAATATTATCATCCAAAATATCCCTTTCATCTTGGAGGCCCAAGTGTACTCGTGAAAAATGGATGTCTTTTACTTAAGTCTTGGTTTTAGATGCGTCCCATGCGCGATACTCCATAGATGAAGGCTGAAAATATTTTTGCCCATAGAACCTGCCAAAGGCGGTTTAAAATGTTGCTGGAAATTGTAATACATATATCGGATCAAATTACTTAGACGGTTGCCTAACAAATTACCCAACTAAATTCGGAAACACAAAACTCCCCTACAAAGAACCGGATTTGGTCATTAAACTGATTTAGGCAGGTTCGCTCGTCTGATTATGATCATAACAATCGAAATTTTAAGAGCAACTTGTAATGTTTTTATTGGAATATTGTGTTTTATATTATGCACACAACCTGTAATTTATTCCGACTTGCTGAGACTACTGCTGTGAATTTATCTTTAAATGTCAACATGAACGAAAAAATTGTCTGCCTAAGTGTTGTTGGTAAGTTTTATAAATAGAACCACTTCAAAACAGATGAAAATGCGCGGTTATCTTTTAAATAAAAAGGGTGAAAAGAAACACCAATTCTTGTTACAGAAAATAGCACAGAAGTTATTCGAAAAATGATTTACAATGTGGCGCGCCACTTTTTGCCATACAGCAATATCGCAAAAAAAATAGTAAACGCCCTTGTTTCTTATGCCTCTTTGTGCAAAGAGGAGCGCATATTAGTCTTTTTGGAAGTTAACATGCTATGATTTAGAAGTTTTAAAACCATTCCTGATGATCTCGTAAATGACAAGACCTTATGCATAATGACGTAACAAGCCGTGACACCTGCAGGGAATTCTGGTCTTAGTAGTCACAGCGGGAAATTTTGTTCGCGGCGCGAAAGTTCGAATTTGCCGTGACCATGAGGTCTTGTGACCTGGGCTTGATACGTCCATATATGCATAAGGTGGGATAAAGGTGGTCTATTCCAGTGGTCTATTCTCGTCCCCAGACTGCCGTTCGGATATACACAGGATGAGAAACACGAGTTACTTCACCGAATTTTATTTACCACAGAACTGTTTCTTATGTTTCACCATACGAAACTCGTGTAGTAACTCGTGTTTCTCATCCTGTATATATATATAGGACACTCGCAATGATGACGTCGCATATATAAATGCAAATTCTTTATTTCAGGGGGGTCGTTGGAATAATTTGCCACTGGTGGTTAATTTTCTTCGCAGACACGTGACACTAGCCTAGCCATGAATAACTTCCGGTATCCTACGACATAGAATAAATTTCCATTATGGCTGGCGGTTGAGTGTGTAGAAAAGAAATTCAGGCGTGTTTGTGAACGACTTTGAGGCACTCCTTGCTAGGAGAAATCCTCACCAATGGCATTGATATATCTACTATCAATTGTTCTCTTCTGGAGTCCTCGGATCTATAGTATGACCAAGAACGAACGGGCTGAGATGAGGTACTTAGATCCTATTAACGAGACACGTTGCAAACTGTTTTGTGTGTGAACGCAATCAATGGCTTATTATATTACATGAATGTAATTTTATGTATTTTTAGAGAAACAGTGAAAGACATGTTTCACCATGCCTATGACTCATACATGGTAAATTTATATTTTTTCTTAATATTATATAGAATTTTCTTAAGGATATTACATTAGATTTAGTATATACTGTTTACAAATTATTCAGTCCTTTGAATGATATTAAACAGGACAAAGGGCTTTCAAGAGATGAAATTAAACATGATGTGTCTGTCAATGATACATATAATCTAAGTATCGGTTCCGTATTGTATTCACAATTCACAAAAATATCTATGTTCAGGTGTACTAACAAAATATAATTTTTGCGTTTAAAAAATATTTGTACTGAAAGTATCTTACCATGGTTACAAAAATTAGAAATGACCAATTATGAAAGCGATATCATGCAACCACAACATGTATCTGATATGGCTGCTTATTGTAGAAAACCAGCTTGCTAAACCAGTGGAGCATTACCTCATACAAGATGAAATCAGTTACAAAGGCGCTGTTTATATGATCTCTGGTACCAGGGACACCCTACGCCCTGAGACAATTTTACCAAGAGTTTATATGATAAAATTAATAGCATATAGGAAGCAATAGTGTCTGAGGAAATGTGCCATTCGCTATTGTGCATGCGCCGGTAGGAAAAGTTAACCCTGGAGACTGTAACAATGCATTTGTATGGATAAAAGTTGACCCTACCGCTAGGGTTACCCTCTTTCTTAAATAGGTTGTCCTTACCCCCAGGGTGACCCTACAAGCTGAGGCAAGTTTAAAACCACTTGTGTTTTAGCCCCTATAATATGAATATGATTTCCAGTAGGGTTTCCCTAGCACCCAAGAACATATAAACAGGGCCAATACTGTAGCTATCCACTATATTGGGCGTCATGCTGCATCCATCTGCGCACCTGAGGCTTGCTTCCCAAAATGTTCCCTGAAAACCTGAAAAAAGATTTTTCACACTTAAATCTGAACTCCCAACATGGTCTTTATAAATTGTCTTCATGGCAAAATACATACTATATTTAACCATATTTAATCCATTTTAGACACATGCCTATCCAGCAGATGAATTAATGCCATTGAATTGCAAAGGTCGTTACAGAGATACTGAACCTTCGCGGGGTGATGTAGATGATATATTAGGGAAGTAAGTATATATATTAGAGAAGTTCATTATAAAAGACTGTAATATAAATAGATATTTAGGTCCATAGACAAATAGATAGGAAAATATTAACCTAATATTCATTATTTAAAATTTATTTACCTATTATATTTTTGTTATAAATTTGCATGTAGATGTCATTGAACAAACATGTGATATGCTAATATAAGATTTATACTAAATTCTCTTTCTATTGCTTTTTAGTTTTTCTATGACTTTGATAGACTCATTGGATAGTTTAGTTGTAAGTAGAGAATTGTGTGATAATATTTTAATTTTCTTATTTTTTGGTGGGTAGTAATTTCCTGTTTTATTCCATTGTTTGTTTGATTTAGATTTTTGGAGAGGTTTTTAAATTTGAGGAAGCTGTCAAATTAGTAATTGATGAAGTTGTTTTTGACAGTGACATTGTGGTATCAACGTTTGAAACAAATATTCGTGTCCTCGGGTAAGTTTGAATTATTCGAATTATTCCATCATCATGTCAGAGCTTGTAAGCTTGCCCTGATCTTTATTTTCGGCCCACTCAAAACTGAAATATAGCTGTCTCCCCTCCCCCTCCTGTTTTGCTTTGCCCAGTACAGAAACCAAATGACATTGAATGAAGTTGATACACTCATTTAATTCATAGAGCATAGTGGAGATCAACTGACTTGTAAACTCATGGTCCTCCATAACCTAAAGTGATGACCCACTGAAAACCATGTCCAAACTGTTTATTTGTAAAACATGGTTGGAGCATTTCATAGCATTATATGATATATAGATATACCTAGACCAGCAGTGTTATTGCCTATATGGAGGAATTCAAACTCCTATGCTATACCTAATGCTAGCTTGTAATTTCAGGGGTCTACTTGGAGGGCATGTTGCAGCAGATGTCTTAAAAAATGAAGGTTTAGCCATGGATTGGTATGACGATGAGCTACTGGATATGGCAAAGGATATTGGAGAGAGATTAATGCCAGCATTTAACACAACCACTGGTATTCCATATCCCAAGGTATTCTTGAAGCCAAAGATTTTCACCTTGACTTCCTGTGAACTCTTTCTAACAACAATGGAAACTTCAATGTTAATACTTCTCTACAATTTGGTTGACACAAATTTATTTTATATCAGGTGAATTTAAAGTATGGTGTAGCTGATCCCAGATCAAGGACTGGGACAGAATCTGCAACCTGTACAGCTTGTGCTGGAACAATGATAATGGAGTTTGGTGCTTTAAGTCGTTTGACTGGAGATCCAAAGTTTGAGGTAAGAAAAACATATTTTACAATGCTGAAATTTACAATTACAATAATATGATAGATTTTAGAGACAAATATTGTGTTCAAATTATTTAGGCTGTTGCTCATAAGGCAATGAAAGCCCTATGGACATATCGCAGTAGATCCAGTGATCTCGTTGGCACAGTTATCAACATACACAATGGAGAGTGGGTTAGACGAGGTAAGATGGAACTCAACTAATCCAAGGTGGCTCTGTCAGGTCCAAATTACTCTTCCACTTCTTAACCAGGCATCATGATGAAAGTACCATAACTTATTCATGCATTTCTAACACTCAAAAATTTACAAAATTCACCACCGAGTTTCCGGAGAAAATGACCCCTCATCACAGGGTTGAACCAATCACAGAATTTCACCCATAAGATAAACTAAACTGATTTTTTCTCCACAGATAGCGGAGTTGGTGCTGGCATTGACTCTTACTATGAGTACTGTCTTAAAGCTTACATTCTCCTTGGGGAGGAAGATTACCTACAAAGATTTAATCAGGTACATATCATCAGGCTAGTTAAAGCGTTTTAGAGCAAGAAAGTTGTTGTACAGTGTTTTTGTTTATAAGTCTACACCGAACAGTGGCTGTGACCAGCATCGGAAAAGTATTGAACCTAGACCCGAATTATTTCGCAAATTAACACGGGTTATTAAAAGGAAAGTTGAAACTTTATTTTCCAGCATTACAAGGCGGTGATGCGTTATATCAACAGAGATTCATTTTTCCTTAATGTGCACATGAACAATCCAAGCAAACGTTCAGTTGCGTACATGGATTCTTTGCAGGCATTTTGGCCTGGTTTACAGGTACGTATTCTCATCCCTAAAGCCCCACACATGGAGACCGGACGCGATTTGGCAACGCGGTGCGATTTTTCAAAGTTTTTCATTTTCCAAAAGCAAATAAATTTTGAACTATCATTATATTCTTGTTGATTACTTAACGATAATACATTTTGACTGCTCTGGCGTTCATAGATTCCAATTTTTGCTTCCAGAAATTAGGTTAGGTGTTTCTAAAAACTGAAAATTCGCATCGCTTTGCCGTACCGCATCCGGTCTGTGTGGGCCTTTACGCTCTCACATGTCTCGAGCGCGACAAACCAATATATTTATACTTATCAGTTCGTGCTATATTTGCTGTAGTGCAAACGTAATCAAAACCTGCACTCCACAACGCCCCCCCTTATTTGTTGGTATTCTTTGCTGTTGGTATTCTTTGGAATACTTGTACTATTCACTGGACCTCGGTATAAAGACACTGAACTATATTATCGTACTGTATCAAACGAATGACCGTCTGAGAAGGCTGAATAAGGCCTGTTGTTCTGTAATGAAAACTCTTTTACATTTCCAAAGTTTTTCTAAGTAGTTTTATTCTTCTTCTCTCCAGGTGTTGAAGGGAGATATAAAGTCTGCCATAGAACTTCATGAAGTGTTTTACAGTGTTGCAAAAAGACACACCTTTTTACCAGAGGTTTGTACAACAATACAATGACTTTTTTAAATCACAAACGTGAAACGGTATTTTGGGTTTTCATAATACTGGTGGAATCATGACAGAATACGCTCACATGACTGTTCTGAACTCCAACTTGGGGTCATTGATATGAATAAACCTGGAACGTGCATTGACAAATTAGGATAACTCATATCTCTGTTTTTGTGGGAGCAGTTTATATAGAACCAGTCTTGAACTTGGTCCTTTGTTTATACGTTTTTCCCGCGGTGTACAGATTGAGAAACTGAATTTGATGTGTTATATTTTTCCAGGCATTCACAACAAACTTTGAAGTTCACTGGGGTCAACATTTCTTGCGTCCAGAGCTGGTTGAAAGCACATACTTCCTGCACGAGGCAACGAAAGATCCCTATTATTTAGAAGTCGGCAAATATATCGTGGGAAATTTAAATAAATATACTAGGGTTCCCTGTGGTTTTGCTGCCGTGAAAGACGTACGGATAATGAGTCATGAAAACAGGTAGAGTAACTAAAGACACTGACCAATCAGCAAGTTTAGTAAAAAGCAAATTCCGAACAAACAAGACATCCTGAGAATCAAAATATAAATCAAACAGACACAGATTGAGACTGTAAATTTTCGACTTTATTACAAAGTCATTGTTTTACATTTTCAGTAACCCAATCAGAATGCATAAATTTTGTCTAATTCCGGTAAAAAGGTGCACTCTGAATTGCTTAAACAAATATGCCGATAAGTGCAAGACGAAATCCCCCCCTTGTTCAAACTGGGTATTACACATGTATATCATGGAGGGTGACTGTACAAAGAATAATGCTATCAAGCGGATAGCAAACTTTTGAATCCTTCCATAACTAGTAATCCTTGTTACCTCTATGATATATGATGTACAGTTTAATACCTGTACGTGAACTATTACCATACAAAACTCCACTGCTACGATTTACTGTTATTTGAGTACCAATATCTATTGTACGTTTTCTAGAATGGATTCCTTCCTACTATCTGAAACTCTGAAGTATTTGTACTTATTGTTCACTGATAAAGAAGATTTGTTGATTAATTTACACGACTTTGTATTCACGACAGAGGCTCACATACTGCCTCTTGCCTTGTCAAACTGGAACGGTTCCTCTAGCCAGGTAATGTGGCCAACCAGTTAATTTGAGTGAAGTTTAGTTTTTGACTCCACTACCGCTACATTTGTGGGAACATGAACCAATCAAATGAGATCTTTCTGACAGATTAACCAATCACGAGCGTAGTAGGTCAAGAAAAACGTACAGTAGTTGTGTTATTAGTCAAACCTGAGCCTCTCTAATGACAGTCTGGGATCGTATTTCATCCAATCTTGTGATATTTAATCAGCACAAACTCGAGACACGAGTGGAACAAAGTTCCGAAACAAGAAAAACAGGCTTCGTAAACTTGATTTTCTGGCTGTTTAAAGGCAAATCAAACGGCATTTGCATGCAAAACCTTGTTTGGTACAAGGTTTTACCGGCATTTACCGGCGAATATATATAGGTTACGATGAACAACCATGCTCCTCTCTCTTGACAGACGAATGTTTATGAAAGTGATAATCTGCATGATCACTCGTGTCCAAGGACTGCTAGAGATGGCAGTATGATGTCGTTTGCTGAGAAGATACGAAGAAAGAGCCGTCAATCAAAAACTGACGGCAGCTGTCCAAAAACAAAAGAAAAACAGTCTTTTGTTAAGAGTAAAAGGTAAGTGGTACTTTTGAATCGACGATGTGTTTTCATTTTTGGTTTTCAGAATGAGTGCTTGAACTTTAGTCTGGTTTTCATTATCTTAATTCATAATAAAGCCCTGGGCAAACTAGTAAACATTGTTGCGGGAACATTTATGATTCGTAATGTTTCCTGAAATGTTTTCCTGTTTACCCAACCATAAAAACATTGTTGCGAAAGCAAAAATTTTGTTGCGGAAACAATGTTTACTGGTGTTTTCCCACCTTGGGAAACATTGAGAAACATTAGCGGGAAAACAATGTTTTTCTCGACAATGTTTCCCAGTTTGCCCAGAGCTTAAGATATCCAATGTGGGTAGCCATTGGTGCATGAACTGATTCTCGTTGAGTATAAACAACAGATCGTAGAGTATCGTCCTAAATATGATTCACAAACACCTGGCCTAATAATGGGTGTAATTACTATTTAGTTTTTCTTTTACGTCGCTACAACGTTTGAAATATCTTCTTTACCTCTTAAGGAAGTTTAGAAAGAAACCACGACAGCTTTATTAAATACCACTTATAGAGTATAGACCACAAAGAGGCCTTACTATTTCATTTAGGGCGCACACATTTTGCTAATTTAAGTTTCACGGTTCTTAACAGCTCCGCCCCTCTACTCCGAGCTGAGCAGTTCATCCCGGGAAATAAAGATCACCTGCTGATATTGAAGGCTATGGGGATATCTGTGACAAAAACCGACGATGGAAAAGTACAGCTAATGCAAGATGCAAACTCGGTAAGCAATACAAGACATTGATAGAAGCGTATATGGAGAAGAAGATGAATTAATGCTTAGAGCTACAGTAATGTCCATTTCATTTTCAACAGGCTGACAACGCTGAGATGGCGGGCGAAGGTGTAACATTCATGCAGTCCATGATAGAATTGGCGAAGTTCCGTAGCAACGATGCAGGTAGACTGATGATATATCCTTAAACACGGAATCATTCTCTGTGCAATGATTATCTGTTCTTTTCATGCAGTAACTGCACACAGCTAATTCAATAAAGGTTATCCTTTCAAAACAACAAATTCACTGAACGCACAAGGGATGAGGGGAATTTCATAAGTAGCTGTCTGACACCACATGCATTATAACTTGACCACCACTAGGCACAAGATATCGCAGGTTAATAAACATTCTATGTCTAGATAATATGATCTAATGCCATCTTTAATTCCAACGTTATTTATATGGTAGTACTTTCTAACCCCTAATTAACTACAGATTCGGTCGTAGTTCAGTTATAGCAAGTAGATCAGTGAGACATATCCATAGACCAAGTCACTAAAGTAGTTGTTTCATTGATAGAGTACCTTCCACGTGTCGTTCAAATACTCTCAGCTCCCTACAATGGCAACATAGTTCTGAATGCTGGACCAGCTCAGTTCGGTATAGACCTGGGGAAGACAGGGATGGGAGTTAGTGCCGAGGTCATCCTGGCGGATCCGTTTAAAGGATGTACTGAGTTGAATAATAAAGTAGCTGTTGATCATAGGATAGTAGTTATGGAAAGAGGAGAGTGTATGTTTATAGACAAGGTAAGTTTTTAACTTAAAAACCTCTTGTTTTTCATTCAGAGTTGAACTCGACCAACTGTCCCTAAAGCTCCAATGTCACTTTTGTGTGGAAAAAATCCTGTGAAATGCAACATTTGTGAGAGTTTGATATATTCTTCAATCCTGTGTATTGCAATAGGTCGAGGCTCGCGGTCTTCGCCCATCAGCCTCGTTCTCGTGTTATGGCTTATTTCCACATTTATTGGTCAAAATAAAAAAATATTTTCATGCACGGGTTATAGAAGGATGTTTTGCATCTTCGCGCACGGCTTGTGAGAGTAAAACTTGAAATCCATCTCATTTAAGGTGGTTCTAAATTTAAAACGATAATTTTGTGACGTAATTATCGAAAAGGTCTCTTGCCAACCCTCCTCAGTCCTTCCTTCTTATGCCTACGGGCGTCCCCTTTAGTCCATCTCTGTTCTTTGGTAACCTGAAAACATTCCCTTCAATGAAATGAAATCAAATGACCTCCCCATTTTTGATGCAGTCATTTTTTACTTTGTTTGTCGTGTTTATTGTGAGTTGTTAATGTTCCGCAGTAATTGGCAACCAGCGGTTGTGTAAACCTGACAAATCATTTAATAAGTTGTGTTAGTGATGTTATTGTGATGTTGGCAGAGTTTGTAAATTAATTTGGTTTTTCTCGAGTTTTGTTGCTCACTGGTTTTGCTTGAAATTATGTTTAGGTACGAGTAGCTGAGAGCCTCGGTGCAGTTGGCACTATTATAATAGGTAAGGATTGCTGGTGTTGATTTGGATTTGGATTTGATTGTAGTCGGATTTTCCCCTTTGTTTAATGACTCTAATCTTGTAATCGTCTTAACATTTAATCCCCCATGCTAATAGCAACCTAGCCAGACTTACTGAACTGCCAGGCAACTGGTGTGCCTTCACCGGCATTTCCCTGTATGCTGTGATGAAAACCCAAAATTCTAACAAAGTTTACAACTATGATGTCCAAACGAAAATTCGTGGTCTCGCATTGCAGCTTTACTAACACATGTATTTTTATATTCAAGACAACAATGAAGGAAGTTCAAGCGAGAGCCAGCCGATGTTTGCAATGAGCGGAGATGGAAGCAGTGGAAATATTAATATCCCTGCTGTATTTCTATTCCATAGCGAAGGCCAGGTCTTACAAAAATCGATGCAGATTGTTAGTATAAATAGCGGAGAGAATCTCCGAGTTCGCCTCGCAGATAAGGCTTTGAAAAAAGGTTAGTAGAATATTTTAATTCATCATTTGTCGGACTCGACCTGCCTGTGAATAACTTGGTTAGGCTAGTTCCCTTATTCAGTAACAGTAATGATAAAACAATTTATATACAATATATGTTTGTTTTGTGCATGGTCGTGTCCAGGATTTTAGTTCAAGGGGGGCAGAAAATGAGGTGGAGCAGTAATTCTATTTCTCACCAGGTCACCAAATTTCTAACAAGCCCCAGCCCTGATAGAAAGGGTCCCAACCCTGGGAGAGGAGCCCCAAGGCTGTTTTGTGCACACTGTTTTGATATTCATTCTAAATAACGCCCGTGCAGATCAATAAAGGATGATCATTGCCCCTTTAGTTTAGGAGAGACAGCTTTTCAGTAAGAGTATGCAGGTGGTTTATTATGTATCAAAAAACAATGGGTTGATATATTGAACGACTGTTTGTTTTTCAGATGCAAATAAAGAGGGAACGGTAACCTCCTCTCGTCCCGCTCAAAATATAGAACCCGAAGTAAAAACGGAATCAACGTCTCATTTTCAAGAGGAAAAACATGAAAAGGGTTCAGGGAAACTAGAGAGTCTTGAACACGATGTAAACAAACTTATCGAGGTTATGAAAAAGGTCGTAAAGCAACCGGGATTTGAATTCCTTACTGGTCAGTCAGCATCCCTGAAGATGGGGGATATCAATACCGCTGACAAACGTGAACGTTTACTCTATGACGCCATGATGGAAAACTGGCAGGAAAAGGGGCGAGCGGGGGAGACGCAAAGTGGGGGTTTGGATGAAGTTGTGGTGAAGCTTAAAGGTGGGCTTTTTGCTATTAAAGCAAAGAAGGCGGATGGGAATAAGATGGAGTGCAGGTCAATTCCTGAAGACACTAAAGAAAGCTGCAAATCACCTAAAATAAGAGAGGAATTTCTAAAGACTGTAGCGAGACGTGGTGATGATAGTGAGATTATTGTCGTAGGCAGCGTGGACGATGAAAAATTGTCTGGTGAGGAAAGCAACTCGCGCATGGATATTGTCGAAAAAATGGTTCGCCTTGATGGGTCTTTGAGCGACCCATCGGACGATTACTTACATACCACAGAAACAAACAGCAGGTTTGTTGAGAAAACAATAGAAGTACCGGATAACACTAAAGTACCCAAGCGTAAGCCGAAAATGATTCGTGCTGCTGACGGTGACACTGTCGTTTTTACGGATTGTGATCCTGATGAAACTCCCGTTGGAGTTAATGAAGGTGAAAACATCCTTCAAGTTAATATTGATAATACAGGCCATAGTGAACCTGAGAACAGCGAAAACAACGAGCATGTTCTAGTACCTAAATCTGTCAGCGTCGATGATGCTACAGATGGAAAGACTAAAGAAATTAAAACACTCACAGGTGAGGATGCTGCTCATGAAAGGACGTTTGATCAAGAAGAATCGACTCATGATACCAATAAAGTAGAAATAGAGTCGGCAGAGGGTGAAGATAGTGACAGGCATAGGGCAGGAGACAACGTTAGCGACGAAGAAAGCCATGTGAGAGATACTGATGACGAGGGAAAACAGGTAACAGAAGGAGAAAAAGAGAGAGAAAGTGATACTTTAGCTATGAATACAGGCAAAGATTTTGAGGTGAACTCTGTGAAGGCAGGTGGCCAAGAAAAACAGGGTTTTACCCAAGATACTTTTGAGGAAGTATTTTCACCAAATCTTGATGAGAGGACTAGAATCGTAGAAGAAAATAGTAAAGTTAACCACGATAGCGCAATAGACCTCAATATTGAAAATCATTCAGACAATTCAGAGTCGGTGGAAATAAACGCGGACAACAAACATATTGCCGGTGAACCACCAGAGGAATAATATATTAATACGTTATTTACGATGTTACAGTAGAGGATAGCTACAAACCAAATTGACAATGTATCATGGGAGTTCTAGCCTTTCGTTAACGTCTCAAAAACCGTCCCATGATGAATTGTTAAAACTAGCTACTATTAACCAGTCCTCTACTGCAACTTTGGAATAGCCAATTGTAAATTACAAAGGATAAATTATTTTAAACAGTCTAAAACAGTTAGTGACATCCACTCATTCCACTGATCTAGAACGTGACATATTCTGTATATGGTTTCTGACATATTCCGTGCATTGTTAGTTGTAGATACTGCGAACTAAAAACGTGTGGTTAAAAATGAAGGAACCGGTTATTGGTCACATCAGATGTGATTACAAAAGCTCTTTAACATGGAAATTATGAAAATATAGGCCAAATTAAATCACGGATACAACTCTACAAGCCAATATTTTGGTAACAGGATCATGTGTATTCCGCATTGAGTAACGGTGTTTCAGCCTAAAATGAATCATACAAGACTCGAGGTTAACATTAGTTCACAGGCAGTGGGCAAATGGGACAGCTGAGAATCGTCGGATTTGCCATTCCGTTTGTTAACCATACTAAATATCTACAAATGTTCTGAAAGCTACTAAAAAGTATTTGGCAGAACTAAGATTTTAGTGTCACTGCATTTAACATGCATGATTAAGGACGTTCCGTGGGTCTTTAGTCTAATTAAGAGCCTATATTGTAGGTCATCATATTAATTGAGGGATGTAAAGAGTATTTTGTATAAGAAACAATATCCAATATATTAAAAGTACCTTTATCAAAGTGTATGGTAAAGGAAGTCTAAGAGTAGCCGAATTTTAGGTAAAAGATTATTTTGTATTAATAATTGTTTTCAAACCTCGTCATTTTGCATTTCAATCATTTGGCTATCAACAACCAGAACACGACCTGATGCTAGAGAGAAAGTTGGAAATTAGAGCAGGTCATAATTCTATTTCCAGAATAAACAAATATAATCCTAACAGGCTAACTTAATCCCGATAATACTGCGCTAATCCTTATACTATCTGCCAAAATATCTTCAAGTCCTAATACTACAAACACTTAACATTAAAGTTGGATTTATTTTAGGATAAATTTTCAAGCCAATAGGTCTGTAGACCTTTATAAGAAGTCTGCGTTATAGTCGGCGGACAAGGCATGTTTGATTGTTTCTAATTGGACGCATTGGCCAATAGCAATGTGCCCAGTTGACCAATCAGGAACATGCTTTATTCGCAAAACACGCGACAACAAAGACTTTTAATTAAGATCTTTAGAAAGAATAGGCGAAACAAATTTCCTAACTAAAAGGGGGAGCTTATTATAGACATTAGAGCTTCATTCGTGTTTTTATTCTTACCAAGTCTGTGGTCGACACCTTTACTGGTTTTAACATGTTGTACAATCACTCCAACAATGAAGAGAATAGGCAGGAGACTTATCACTAGCCAAGTGTACCAACAGTTGGGGAGGTAATAATGACTACCTGTGTAGGAATGAATGAACAATTTGCATCATTGCATGTTAGACTGATCTGGCCAGAAGATCAAAGTGAACTACCACAGGCACAGTGAAATTAGAATTAAAGAGCTTGATTGTAAAATATTGTATTACATTCCTTTCATACAATAGTTGGAAATGCTACAATACCTTGCATAATGTTTACGGTGTACGTCACAACTCTTCCTTTCTCAACATAGTAGTCAATACCGTTGATAAACAAAAGAGAACCGAGAAATGCTGTCGATAAAATAATTATCACCTAAAAGGTAAAAATCACTGATTTGCAAATAAATGCAAACCTTTAGTGTATAAAATAGGCAATGAACTTGGCAAAACGTCTATGACCCAAGATGTAATGTTGCGACCGTTTCATCTCGTAAAAAATACTTTGAAATTTTGCTTATCAATATTCGATTTTAAATTGTATTGGTTACGTGATTTCCGACAGGGACGTCGGAATATGCGGGGGCAGCTGTCCCCTTGCCTTTTACCTCTTTGTTTTAAGGGATTACATTCTTTATCTTAGGTAAAAGTTCACCATCGAAACAATCGTCTGTCTGGTGAAAAACTACCATGGCCAGACACCGAAATCATCTTGGAGAGAGAGAGCACGATGAAACGAAGTTCAAAAAACGATATTTTGCAAACATTCTTGTATGCGTTGCTACAGAAGTGCCCTTTCCCTCCCCCCCCTTTCCCCACACATTGTTCCACATCCCCAGTTGATGCTATTGGACAATCATATTATTGTGCAAGGCTTTATTGTCTTCACTGAGCAGAGGTTGCATAAACATGAACAAAAGGAAAAGGAGAAACACGTTATCCAAGTTTTCATAACAAATTCCTAGTACTGACAATGTTGGCATAGGATGAACCAGTTTGAACATTCTAGAAATTTACCATTACTAATTACACAGCACTATTTGTTTAGGCTTTTTTTAGTAATGGTATTGATATTATGGTTTGAATCATCCATGTCTTGAAACTTAGGTTGCATACATTTAGCTTTGAACACTGAAGTTGAGGCTACTTGTAACATAAATGTCTACACACAGGGCTACAAAGGACCTTTGAGTTAAAAAAATGGATTTTACCTTCTGTATACACAACATCAAGAGCCCTGCAAATATAGCACAGCCAGTGCAGATGCTGTATGGTAACCACATATTATCAGCAAGATAATGTGCTTCAGATTTGAATAAAGGTAGCAGTGCCATTCCTGCAAACCAACCCAATGTTGCACCTGGATATAACAGCAAACAATGTCTTTATGTTTTAAACTAAACTTGTTAGAACTGGATGACAACATGCAGCCCAGACTTATTAAACCAGTGAAGTGTTAACTAAAGAATCTTAAATTACTTGAGTAATTATCCACAGCTTACCCAAGACAAACAAGCCAACATAGTACAAACACAAGGTCAATAATCCTCCTATCAAGCCCACACAAAATGATAATCCAAGATAAATCTGCAAGTGTTAGATAACTATTTCAAACAATGAGTTATTTTGTCTACTGCCAGATTATCTCCCTCTGTATAAAGCTAATTTGCACTTGAATTGTCAGAACTGTCATGATATGTTGTATCTATGGGCTCATGAAACAAGTTATCTGCATCATGAATCTGAATATTTTATTGCATATTGTTATGTCTTATAATTATATCTAACCAAACATGGTTCAAATACTTATAGCAGGTAAACAATAAAATACCTGGTCCTTATAATCAGCAGCATTGCCTTCGATATGGTCAGTCAAATAAAGTGAACAAATAACATAACTTGTGAAAAAACCCACAAAGAATCCAGTTAGAAACAGGATTAACTTAAACAATCTGTACCCTAAAATATGAAAGAAAAAATAATCTAGATCAACACTGAATATCATATAGATGAACTGGATTGTTATTCATTTTGTAGCTCACCTGCTAAACACATCACTAGTCCAATAATGACTGACACACCAGCAATGATCAATAGTTGAGTTTTGAAATCATTCTCTTGGTCACATTCATCTTTTGGTTTATGCGATGTTATTGATGTTGTTGTTTTTTGAAGAAAATCCATCTTAGAGATCAATCTAATGCAATCAGACCTAAAAACTTTAGACACTTCCTGCATATTTCTTGCAAAATAAAATTTTCCACCACTTTAAATTCCCACTTCATATTGAAATAGAAGAATCAAGCATGCAATAGTAAAACGTCAATTAGCACCTCATGCCACTTGTTGAAAATGTTTGCAATGTCTACATGGACAATTTGGGCCCTTAAAAAATTGGGAGACACAGTTCATTTGCCCCTTAAACTTCGCACATGTCATTGAAGCAAAATCATAATTTGGATCAAAGAAGTCCAACTTTGAAAGCGAAATACTAAAAGGCACATGCATTAACCACAGCACACTTAAAAGGTTACAAAACTACGGCACAATATGTCAATTATTTTGAATCATTTTCTTTTTTAAATATCATCTATGCGAATGGGCACAATTTTTAATCAATATATCCCCTATTTACATGACTATATAATTTATACAATGTAGATACACTACCGTCTGCTTTCTCCTGCAAACCCTTTAAATTCTTCTGGAAAGATTTTTTCCCCAGCAGGGAAAATAGCTATATATGTATATATAGTTAAATGCTAATGCAATATTACCTCAAAAACGTGTTTCTAAACAAAAGTATTGTTCAAACAATTGTTCAGACCAGATATTTTATAAATCAACGCATTATAAACGCCATTTACCATTTCCAGGAAGCACTGTTCCGTCCTTAAATTCCATCAGCGAGAAGTATATTACGGATTCACGGTTTTGTGGAATTGTGGGTTAATACATGGTTAATACTAAACGTACGTTTTGAAACGTTAAACGTACGTTTTGAAACGTTAAACGTACGTTTTAAAATCGCACGCCGCAAGCTTGAACGCAAATGGTAGTAAATTGTAGAAGACCTTTAGTTTGACGTTTACGGCAAACACCGAACCTCCAACAAAGTTTATGTTTTAACTCCACTATCTATAAGTGTGCGGCAATTTCGCTAAATTACAAACGTTCTACAAAAAACTTGTGGTGTTCAGCAGTAATGTAAGAAAGAAATAGGCTATTCCCGATGTATTTAGAAAAGCAGCTAATTTTGTTTGTCAACTACAAAATAATGTGCCCGTCAGAGTTGTTCTTTGACCACCTTATTTGTAAATTCAACAAAAATCCAGTTTTCATCAACTATAGCCACTCAGGCATTTTTACTTTACCCGTCTAAGTACCATCAATTTTAAATACCATCAAGGGCGGATTTCCACTTACCGTATCGTAGCGAAACCTAGCGTTTGTCTTTGTTTCAAAGTCATTAGTTCTAGCCGAGTGCACTCAGACAATTATGACGTGAGACAGGATTAAAACACGAAAACAAGTTCGCACTTTGTGGTGGTCAAAGTTTCAGGCATTCGGTTCGTATATTACTGTTGTAAGCCTGTGCATTGGTTTTTTCCATACCTGTGTTTTGGTGTTTTCCGTACCTCTGACTTGATGTTTTCCAAACCCGTGTTTTCCATACCTGTGTTTTGTTGTTATCCAGTACATGTACATATGTTTTAGTGGTTTCCAAACTTACGCTTTCCATACCTGTGTCCTGGTATTTTCCATACCTGTGTTTTGGTGTTTTCCATACCCGTGTTTTGGTGTTTTTCATACCAGTCTGTTTTTCCATACCTGTGTTCTGGACATCTGTTTTGGTGTTTTTCATACCTGTTTTTTCATAGCGGTGTCCCAGTGTTTTCCATACCTGTGTTTTAGTGTTTTCTGGCCTATGTTTTTTATATCTAGTTTTAATGACCGTCTGGAACGCTGGCAACTCGCAGGGAGCTTTATTTATGTACTGTGAAAGGTAAAAAGACGCGGCATGGCTCACCGCTCACGTCGGGACTCGGGTCATCAAAGCGTTGGAAAACAAGCGTTGAGAATTACATGCTCCGGGTTTAACATTGCCCACTTTTTAATTTCTATAGATAACCGCTCGCTATCTGCCGTTTCAATCCTATAACCTCACTCACGGTTCAACGTGGTACTCTACAACGTGCCCTGATCAATGCAGGCATTGTTCATCTCACTTGACATTAAATAACATTTTGAAATTATAAAATGCAGATTTGGGCTGTATAATTTATTTTCAATGCAGCATCAACGAACTGCATTACTACATAGTTTTCTCGATCAATGACGGTAGAGTCGCCCCCGCAAGCCCGTTCGTTCCTGCAGTTACCTAGTGCGTCATTGCATCGTGGATGAAGGGAAATTAGCATATTTTACGCAAACAGTTCTTAATACAAATATACACAACTATGTCTACTATGTCTATGTTCCTCACCCTGTGGGTATTTAGGACACTAACGCTGAACTTTTCAATGCGCGTTTTGCACTTTTAAATATTTCCTCACAAATATTTCCTCAAATTGCCATTCCAAAGATCATATGGTTAGACGTATTTATAAAATCATTAAAACTACCATCAAACACAATTACAAAGCATTCTTTGCAATCAATTTCTGTCCTATGTTGTGTGGTGTGGCAGCGCGAAGTGTTTTGGGCGACATTGTTTTTTAGTCAAATCTTGTCACGAATTTCCTTCCTTCCTATTCACGTCAATTATTCAAAAACAACCTCGCAAAGCTATTAAGTTTGGACTATTTCCACAATCGTGAAAGTCTAAGGCAAATTTGTATATTGATTGCATTATCATACTTATTGATTACATTTTCAGGCATTTATATATCGCAGTTATTACCACTAAATCTGGTATTGAATTATATATTTATTTATTGACGCTCTAATTAATTACTCTAATTAGAGTAATGCTTGGGGCTTGGGGGTCTTCTGCACTTGAAGTCACAAAAAATCTATAGTGACGATCAATCTTTTTCACATATTCTTAGATAAAGGAAACACATTTTAAAATATGAACTCACAAACCCAGCAATCGAATCAAATAATCGTAATGCGTGGGTTACATATGGACATTTACAATGCGCTCAAGTGTCTAATTAAATTATAATAGATAGAGTAGCAGATTTTGATACGTTTCCGGAGTTGTCAATAAGCGGGTAATATGAGATGATATTGCCCGGCCCATCGGGTAAAATACGCCAAGCGGGCTGGCAAACAGGCACTTTGAACTTGGAAGACCGTGCTAGCGTACGTGGCTGGAGAATATGGCTGAATTAACAGAGGTATTGCAACCGTCGATTTAGTATTTATGGAAGAAAATAGACGTTAGTATTCCGTTTCTTTATTGGTTTTGTTTTACTTTTAGTTGCGAAGCGATCGAACTGAGTTAAAGGAGCTTTTAGAACAAGCAAAACGGCCACGTGTGAGAGTCATTCTTCAAAATGAACTCAGCTCTGTGGATGTGAAAATTAACGAAATCGAACGGCAAAGATTACAAGATGAAGTTACCAACATGGAAAATGAGGATAAGGAAAACCCCAGCACTCTCGATGGTTTCGAATCACGGCAAAAATCAGGGAGAGAAGGTCGTGTACAGCGAAGTAAAATCACATCATATGGTAGGTAGTAAAAATGAAAGTCGCCATTGACCTAGTTTGCCCGTTCTGATTTGTATTCTGACTGTTGTCAGCAGTAAGTATTTTCGCGTGAGAATATACTAGGCGGAAAGCCTTAAGTTTAATTCGATATTTCGACCTTCTTGATTACGGAAAGTTCGAAAAAGGCTGATACGGGCTTGAACGGAAAAGCGAGTCAACCATGACCGCGTTGTCTTTCAAGTGTTTGTTCAAAATTCACAAGGTGACCTTGGCTATATTTATTGTCGAAATGTACAATATTTACCGTACTTGTTTGTTCAAAGTACGAAACAATGGCACCTTGTACTGTTCGAATTGGTTGTGTATAGTATAGTAGAGTTTTTCTAACATTCTGATATCTTCGATATTTGTATCTGAAAATATGCGTATTAATTTTATTTTATTGCGTGGTGTCGATTTCTAAATTCACAACATTGAATTCTTAGTATTTAATTCCCTGATACACACTGATATTTTTCGGACTAAACTCATAAACTGATTCGTTAAAATACGAAGTACAACGTATTTAGCGCTGTAGTTCATGCGCGCATTTTTAGTCAATGTGTTCTGACCCTGATGTGTTTGATCTTTGTGCGCACGTTTCTGGAATTCAGAAATACCAACAAAGTGTTACTGTAGTGCATGTTTCAAGCCAAAAATGAGCTTTTTGGGGATGTTTTTGCGCATGAAATTGGATAACAGGTTGGCTTGGATATCCTATTGTTAGCCCCTGTGGTGCAAAATGCGTCATGAAACAGTGCACCTTTCATCAGACATGGGTTTGAATCCATCTTTAAGATATTCTGAGTAAACTTTGTTGGCTTTGTGCCTTTCCTGTTAGGTTTTTTAAAGACCTGTATATAACAATTCAAGGTCTGTTTTCATAGCACTATAATACATTATCCTGTTATTGATGATTAGTGGTCTACTGTAGGACATTAAAACTCCATTATGCCCATACTTTGTGTGTATTGAATTAACAAGTTTAGAAATTCAACATAAACTAACCACTAGTATTAGATTTACATTTTGGCAGATTTAAAATTGTAAGGGGAAAATATATATATTTGTCAATGATGGTTTAAAAAACAGCCTAGTGTCAAATTTCTAATGCCTGTGTATGATGCTGAATGGCATGTTTTCCTTCCTAAAAACAAGGAAAACAGCTAATAATTGATTCGGGAAATGGATAATGGAAACAATAGCATTTATATGTTATTCAGGCTCTAGTCAAAAATGTCAAATGTATGTTATTTCTTAAACTAATTGTGATGGTAAGGCAGCTAGATTTTAGGAGTATCAAATTCTGTCAAGTCATTGCTGAGTTTTTCTTCCACTATAAAAATATTGCAAGTATGAAGGATAGAGAAATGTTCGTGTTGTTTCATGATGTGTCTGTCCAGATAATGTTTTTGTTTTAAGTCAATGATATTGGTCTTTCTCATAGTAGTTGTGTCTTTTTGCATGCCAGACATGGATTATAATGTATGTGGTATTCAGCAACAACATATTGTTACACATGTACAAGTCCCTTTTCAATTTTTTTCATGCCTGAGACACACTTTGTTGGTTCATTTACAATTTAACCAATAATGCATATTCATTAAATGATAATGAAAATAACCCTGTCTTCCTTTATGCAAATGTTAATGAAAATAATTGTTTATTTCAATAACAAAGTCCTTGAAATATTGCAGAATAAACAAATATTGTGACCTTGGTTTTATTATTTCTATTAAGCAAAAGGTTCTTTTGAATTTGAAACCTCGTGACTATGAGAGGTATTTGAATTTTGAAACTGACATTCACTCAACTGACATTCTTTAAATTGCTTCAAAATGTTATGAGAAGATTTTATCAACATTCTTCAGATAGTTAAAAAAGTTGAACCTCTCCCTAAAAACAAATAAAAAATTATGTTCTATTTACTGATAGTGTGGGAACTCCCTTATGTGTCTGAAGGAAATCTTTTCTGACAACACCCAGTCATGTGATGGGTGTTTGAAATGTTATGAACAAGGCAATTCTTTTTTATTGGGATAGCTCTAATCTATCTGAGTGGATAATGGATGGACTTATGTCTGTAAAATTGTGCTATTCAGAAAACATCACACACATATTTCAGAAACACTTTTTATTCATACAAGTTGTTTTCTCTGTCATTGAAACTGGTTAATGTACTTGTCTTTAATTTTTTTTATTTCTTTTAATTTTTTTTATTTCTTATAAGTTTGAATTCTGGTTTGTTTGTGGTCTTGTGTTGATAGAAATGTTGTAGACATTAGAAGAGTAGAGTGTTTTGTCTATAGTAAGGTAACTTCATATTGATGTATCTAGTATTTCACTTATTTTTGCTAGTAATGTTAGCCTGAGAGAAATGCGGTAACAGGATACCATAACATAAATATCTTCTGGTTCCATCTAGTTTTAGTTGTCGGTAAAGTTGATACTGAAAATATTCTATTGTTGCATTGAGGAAGTTTTTTGGCACCCAGTTTTGATTCCTTCTCTAATCTGATTTACAACCAGGATTCATTCCATATGGTCGTTACTAGCGGGAGCGAGAGAGCTTTTGTGGCATATCGCCAATATTCATTAGTCTTGATTTGATGACCTCTTGCGATTTCCTGTTGTTCTGTCAAGCCTTGTTGATTGCTCAGGAAGTCTTCACTCAACACTCGCCCAATAGCACATGATGTTGGGCAGCGCATGCCTGTAGGTCACTTGAAGGTCGCACGTAGGCCCCATATGTCTCCTGTGGTGGCCACAAGGCAATGCAAACAATGCTGAGTGATTCAGCACCGCCAATTCGTCAGAGGCCGGTGATAGGAAGGCCGGATAGCAGGTATCCCCGGACAGTGATTTTTTTTAAGTCGCTCAACAGTTGATAGAGCCCAGATTAGACCTTGGTATTCTCAGTGTTTCCCTTCGTAAATTGTTGGGTCAATATCAGAAGTTTTATTGCTTTTCAAGCATCCAGACAGCCGTAAAAAAATAGCAACCCATTGGTTGGCTCTATGCAGCATTCGTAGAACTGCCTCAGATTCGTATACTTTATTATGTCAGCAGACCTAAGACATACACCAAAACCTTTTTTCCTGTCGTTCGATGTTGACACGTATGATATGCCTTGCTAGCAATATAGCACAGAAAGGAACTTATGAAATATGACGGATGTTTGGGTCTTTCTAGACTAGAGTATAACTGGTGTGTACCTCTGGATCAAAAGTGTGCTGTATAAAATGTTGTATAATATAGGTGTATGTGCGTGTATTGTCCCTCTCCCTCCCCCTTTAGTTAAGTATATATGTGTACGACTATTAAACTCTTAAAAAGTCATAGGAGGACAAGTAGCATTAACTTTCAGTTTCAGCTTGCCTTTGTAATCGTGTAGAACATTCTACAAATTCAATGTTTATTTTTGCTGTTTATTTATCATATTATCTCCCCATGATAACATTTGCAGATGTTTGCCGTGTGATAACAGTCTCTTTTTATCTTTTTCGAGATTACGATGTTTGCGTGCTGCGGATCAAGGGGCCAGAGGGCCCCGTCCGCACGTCGCCAGATAAGTGAACAATTTTCCGCGTCCACGCATTATGAAACTCTTTAGACACTCGCGGATAAATCGTGCAGAATGCACTGTAAACATCCATTAGCCAGCATACGGTTAGCGTGCCGGTAGTATCCTTCCTATCAATGTATGGCCTAAAATATTTGAGACATTTGTGTCATTAGTTGCAATCATATATTCAATCAACCACTTGTACTATGGCAGATAGTAGACGCAGATACCTTTATTAGTCGTATGAAGTATTTTAAGTGTCAAGTGTTAAATTAACATTTTTTTCTTCAGTCAGCGAATGCACGGGAGTCTTCTCGCATTCTTAAATTATGCTCAAGTCTTAGGTTCACTTTCTCTTTTGATCCTTTATAAGCGGTTCTTATTTTTCAAGTTTCACATTAAAACTGGAGGGACTTTATTTACCCAAGTCCTTGTTTCGTGTTTTTGCATTCGATTCATCTAAAACTGGTGCGTCATCTTTTTCGTTCATCCGTCCGACAATCTTCAGATTGTTGTGTTTCTAGTGGGCGATCCGTGTTTACGGAAGGTATCTCCGCAGAACTATTTTTACACCTTAATTTATCCGGTTGCGTATTTATCCGGTAGCGTGTAGACGGCTGCGGTGGCGGGTAGCGGGACGGATGTGCGGGAAGACGGGATAGGTAATAACGGACTAATGAACATAGCGCAAATACCACCATTAAATAATACCATTTGCCATACTAAGGCGTTGGTCGTTTTGTGATTGAAAACGATAGCAAAATCCGGCATATGCCTATGAAACGTTTCAAATAAGGAGACTGTGTTTTAATGAAAAAAAAACATAAACAAAGAAGCTCTAAGTGTGTTTGAGAGTCATTCGTATTTAACGAACATTTAAGTTTACTAAAAGTGAAAGACCATATTACCTGACGTTCAAACCATTTTAAATTTTTGTTAGAATTTGTTTTGAATATCCCGTACGATGTTTTGTTTTTTTGAATCTTAACCAAAGGTACTGTGCCGTAAAAACTATAGTAAGTGTGTTTTTGTTATGTTTCATGCTTGAGTTATCATCTTACCGTCCCAATACGGCGTATGACATTGTCATTACAGTTGCTAGTCACTGTGAATAACGGTTTAACTCATTATACAGTTAATAGTCACTGTGAATAATGATTCAACTAACATTATACGAGAGAACAGTTCATACTTTGAAAACCATCATCACCATGGATCCACTGCTATCGTATCTTCTGTATCGTGTTGTGTAATTTGTCTATTTGTTTGATATTTGTGTGCTGTGATAGCAAAACTATTTAAATTAAAACGCAATTCAAACTTTCGCGTTATAGCAGTTAATGTCTGAGGGGATATTTTCGAGGCAAATATGAACCTTGAATGTCTTTAAGCTCGAAACCTCGAATCTAACCGACCTTTATGTCATTAAAATGAATCGATATAATACATCGTTATTTCTCACAAGCTTTATTGATGCTGTTGATAAGCTTTATCTTGAAAGTGGCGTTTTCAAACCCTGCCACGGTCTTATTCTTTCAGTGTTTTTACATACAATGCTATTCCTTGCAGACTGCACGCTACGAAACTCCACCAACAACAACAACAAGGAAGGGCGTTTTCCTTGTCAAGCGAGCGGCTGTTCCTATGTTTGCCGTTGGCAATGCGAAATGAAGGTTCACATGAACAAGCACACAAAAGAAAGACCGTTCGTATGTGACTGGGCCAACTGTGGGAAGAGCTTTGGAGACAAGAGTTCAATGAGGACTCACTACAATGCAGTTCATCTTAAACTCAAGAAATTCAAGTGCCATGTGAAAGGGTAAGTCCTTCCTCAAAGTGTTGTGAAAATCTGTTTAAACCTTTCCGTAGTGAAACCTGCTTTTGAATAGGTCTAATGGTAAACCTGATGATTTTGACCAATTTTTTCAAAGATTGGGTCTAGGTTAAAAACAGGTTGAAAAAAGGCATCAAAACCCGTTTTTTCTATTTTCATTGTTTATTTACACAGGTGCAGTCTATCCTTCACGTGTGCCAAGAGTCGCAACCGCCACAGCAGAAATACAAAACTCCACGAAAAATTATTCAGTGGTCAGTGCTTCCGCGACCAGTATATGTGTGTGAATCACACAACAGTCCCAAAGGAGGAAAAGCCAACCAAAAAAGAGCTCCCTGAAGATCTGAAGGGGGTTGAAGAAAATCATTTTGAAAACGAGCAAGTCCCCAGTCCAACTACTGACTACGAGAGATTCTACCTTGATTCTCCGAAGGTCACAAACCCCATGGGGCTTATGTTCCTTAACCATCCGAGTATGTACCCACGAGGGGACTACTATCTCTATAAAGATCTTTTCTCGAAGGCTTTGATGAAGGAGTACAGTATGTATGGCTATGGTTTGAGTGGTGCCGGATTCCCGGGGTTTTATCTCCCAGCGCCCCGGGCTTCCGTGATTAAGGAGAATAATTTGGGTAAGTTGAGCCCAATTATTTAGATTATACGGACAATACCGTATGATCGTTTTTGGTACCAATCGTTCATTAAATGAACATTATTTTAAAGTAAAGAAGATTTCTAACAGACTAACATATTAATATTTGTTTTTTGAAAAAAACATATATAGTTTCAAAGTAAATTGATTTAACTCATCTGGTAGTTTTACACGCGAAATGCATGAATATGATTAAAAATTGTGCATTTGATTTTTTTAAAAAACGTGGTTTATATTCATCTGAAATGGCGCAGATTTGTTGTGGAAAGCTTATAAGAAAAAATACAACAAATATTTGAAATTTTATTATGATCTATATTAACTTCTTCAAATCAGAATTCGCATATCGTGTAAAACTACCAACAAATTTATACTTACATTAAATAACTTCTAACGGAAACATAGTTTTAGGAAGATAGTTTAGAAGAAAATAATCGTTGTAATACTTAGGTAATTCCTTTAAGTTTAAACATAACTTAAGTAATTGTCAAAATAATGGATCGTTTGTAGCTTAGTTTGTATATTTAGCTTAGTTTTACATTGTAGTTGAAGATAGATTATTGTAGTGTATTAGTCTAATAGTTTTTAACATGGCAATCTGTCAAAGGCAAGGCTTTCACAGGTGTTCCGTACTTTTTTAAACTCATTTGATTGTCCTAATTTCATTTACTACGACATGTGGGTGGTGGAATAATACTTGATGAACAGGAATTTATCTGAGGAAAAATATGTGCATGGCTATGGGAATAATGCATGTATTAAAAGATAAGCTTTGAACTTGTGTCTTTTAATTGTAATTGAGGAACCCACAATTGGGTAAATTGGATTTATTTCTATAAGTAGGTGTTTCATTAGAAAAGGTCTTTCATCCTTTCATTATGTGGTTATTAATAGTAATTGGAAGCCTGTCAAAATTATTTGATATATTGTTGTTTGTAGATGACATTTGCCAAGTTAAGTTAGTTTAGTAGAAAGTTTATATATCTTAATATGGTAACAAAATATATGACTAACAGTGTTTTAACATTCAAGTCTTAATGCTATTTTAATGCATTGACAATATTATTACTATAAATAAAGGCAGCCCACATTGGGTAAAAAATACTTGGCTCAATTTTAAGTCAGTAAGTTTAACCCGTATTAACATTTTAACAAAAATATTTGTAATAATAGTCAAGAAATGCCGATAATCTATATATCGCGTACTCCCCTGAAAAACTATGTTTTCAGTTAGCCAAAATTAGAATGTGTTTCTGCAATAAGGCAATGTAGCTGACATAATTGTTAGCCATATAAGTAAATTCCCTTATTTACCTCGGCATTTCTTGAAGTTCTATTTTGTGAACTGTAAACTAACAATTAACAGTAAAACCAGTTTACTGTATTGTTAAACTTGGATAATCAAAATGATTGTAACAAAATTTATAGTAATTGTAACATTAGCTTGTACTTTTTTCATACTAATTTTTTAAAATATGAAATAAAGTAATGTTTATGCTCGGGAGATAATAGCGAAGTGGGAAATTTGAACGTTAAAATATATAATCAAAAATAGTTTCAGCATTGATATTATTTTCATAGTTATCAATGTAAAGCCAATATAGGCCAAAATTTACACTATGTATCTTTGATTGCGCAGCTTTGTGGGAAAAAATAGTAGTTCAGACATGTGACACATGCGTGCATGCAGTTGAAATCCTGGTTATCAGCTATAGTCCCAGATGTTCCCACAAATGCTTGCCAAAACTTTTTTAACTAAATATTGTAGTTGAGTGGCCTTGAACGTAGACCACGAGGCCATCTGTAACTCGTCATATATCTTTTAAAAAGCAGCAGTGTGCAGTTGAACTTAATGGTGTTGACGGTTTGTTTCTTTTACTCGTTTTTTGAGAAGAAATGTACTCAATGCCTAAATTTTGGTACACTATGCTATCACGGTCAAACACCTTTCGTTCAACTTTTAACATTGTTTTGCTATATTTTTATGTAACCTTAATCAAAAACTCGATAACGAGTTAAATGAAATTGTATTGATTATTTTTATATCCTAGGAATATTGTAATTGAAATTTTTATGAAAGGGGTTGATTGGGACATTAAATTTAGAAATTAGGTTTTTAAAAATATTGGAGAACAATTACTTCAGAATTAAATGTAATTGTATTTTTAAGCAAATTTTAGTAATAATTTTTTGAATATTTTTCTAGTATTTGTAATAAAGATGTTTATGAAATTTCTGTTTCTACATTTTCTCTTTGGCCTTGCATAGTTAATATAGACAGGGGCCCATATGGTTAGGGAAAGGCGGTGACCTTGAAACTCGAACGATAACTGATGTTGGAATATACCTGACCATGCACTTTTTAATATTATGCTAAGGTTGCGAGATTGAGGCAAAGGTCTTGTTTTGATCATTCTATTTTACATTCAAAGTAGTATTTACCGTGAACGTGCACGAAGATTTCCACAATTAAGCGGACGAAAAATAGAACAATGACCAGGTTTTTTTTCTATTAGCTATGTTTTGGTGTGAAACAACGAAGGTTGCGCATGTTGCCGATTGTATGTTTTTCATGTTTCGCTGTGTGTGTTTTCCGCGGTTGTCTGCTGTTTCAGCCTGAAAGGCGCGCACTATGCAAATTAGGATCTTCTGACTTTCAAACACTTAGAGCTTCTATATTTTGCGGTTGGTTTTTAATTAAAAAGTATTGTTCATAGGTGGTCAATGATGTGAGAACGATGAGATTTCCGTCCATTGTATTTCGTTTCAAGTGTGAACAATCTAATTTCCTTCCATTATGTCTAATAAAATAGAAAAAACGGATTTTTTAGTCCGATTTTATAGTTCGTGAACCGAGTTCACAGTAACGTCGATGGGGCAGATCGCTGGGTGAGATTTTCATCTCATAAGATCCGAATATATAATCCGTCTACAGAATGCGTCATTCTGACGCAATGGCCCAAACTGTTCGCAATATGTATTGATATTCAAATGCGATAGTAGATACACGCATTTCTCGTTTCCGATAAGTGCCAGGAAGAGTTAAGAACTTTACACGATACCATATAAAGACTTGATAAAAGCCTCCTCCAAGTCAACCACCCGCGTTGTACTTCTCTCGTCGAGTGAAATGCACAAAATTAGCTATTACATTTTTTTCAAACTATTTGAGTCACGCGCCAAGATAGACTGGACCGCATATGTTGCATGATAAAAATAGAACATGGGAATTGATGATGTATGGTTGTAAGATCGCAAAGGGCAAAAGTTTGCGCATTCCATCCCAAGCTGCCAAGCAGCCCCAATATAAGCTCTCTCTTTGAAGCCAATGATCTCTACATTGTAACTGAATGTAAAGTAATGCCTGGGTGCGAGGCTTGCTTATATCGTGTTAGAAATTGCAATCACTATCAAGCAACCAGAAACAACAAGAGCGGCAACATTAGAATGCATCTTCTCTCTTAAACTAAGATGATTTCGCAATTTTATCTCCCAAAGTGGCTAGCTTGTCATCTGTTGTTTATGGTATCAGTACCACAAAGATTTTAGTATTCCTGGTCCTGACTATACTCTTGCCTAGCTTACTAACAGCATATGAAAGAAGCAATTGGCCAATTGCAAAGAAGTATGTTAATTAGATTCATCTGGAAACTGTGCGTAGCCGAAGTCCACTTGTGTTTTTTTAGGAACAATGAAGAATTAAAGTCGTTAAGAATGACCTTGTTCACCTTAGGTGTTAATTATTAAGTTGTTAAAAAGTACCATGAAATCGTTCAACACGTACTCACGAGAAACGGTCGAAGATGGCATCACACATAGAGCCATTGAGAACAATGCCGTAAAGCAATAAAGCCTTGTTGGAACATTGCCATTTGTCGACTGTAAACAAGCGCGGTGATGCTTTACAAAGTTTATGTAACGTACTTGTTAGTATGCTCACTTGTTTATGTGGAGCCATGCTCAATTGTTAATGTGGACTTCCGGTGTGTTTTTCTCATGAGCTAAAGGAAGTGAAAAAGAAAAACCTTCGATAACCTTCGTTTTATACCTTAAAAATAGTGATTGATAAAGCACATCCTATAATGGTGTAGGAATTTCCTGAGGGGAAAGCTCATGAAGATGTCAAAGCTTATTCACACGATTATTAATCAAGATTCTTTATCCGTGCTTTTGAGGAGTTTATACATTTATGTCCAAAGCCCGTGAGAAAAAACCCTGGGAAACCCCTGAGACAAAATTGTCATTGTTGTCATTAGGAGTCCTAATCCCAAAGCAAAAGAAATGTCACAGAAATAGAATAGCCAGAGTTGGTGTAATTTTGTGTATTTTTTACTACTTCAGTGCGATAATTATTTATTAGCAACCTAAAGGAGTCTTCACAAAACCATCAAAAGCACCCCGCGCGCTTGCTTTTTTAGCTGGTCTCAATATAGCAGATGATGAATACAACGTTATTAATGTGTTTTCCAAAGCTGCTTTTGCAGATGCTTGAATGCCGTTGCCAGAATTGGAGGATAAAGATAAATATTATATAATATATTGCATGACCTATCTCAAAAAACCAGAACTTATTGTCTTTAATGTTTTTTGGAACGGGGACTATATGACTTCCAACAATACTTTTTCAACCTCGCAAGCTTTTTTTCTGTAAAATATCAGATATAGGTTTGAAAACCTGAGACCCATAGCAGATTCCCCCAATTCCATCTTTCTTTGTCATATGCATAATGTGCCCATGTATTTTAGCCTATTTCTAGCCGATTTATGCAAAGCGAAATAACTGTCTTCATTCTTTTTTCATAAGGATTTCTTCAAAAGCCACAAACAGTCACGATATACGTGGATCTCGCCAATGTTGGTAGTTTACATCGAGATTTGATCCAGGTTGATTTTGGAAGACGAAGTTTGAATATTGTCGTAAATAACCTAAATGGAAGAACCTACGAGCTCAACCTACCAAACTTGGGAGGAGAAATCGTTCCGGAAAAATGCAAACATAAGGTTTGTGCACTCTGACTAAAAGTTGACAGCTTTCTTTTTTCATGAAAAGGAGGGGGGATGCTTTGTCTCCATTTTCTGCTTCCTCAGTAGATTTGAGAATTCAAGTAAGGGAGGATTTTTGGAATTCTAATAGTAGAAAACATATACATACACTGACTACATAGAATAAAGTTTTCGATGTCCAAAAAAAGAATTTAACGCTTTTCAGGTAATTATGATCGTGATAATGTTATTACATACGTGCTGATGTATCGGGGTCATGTTATAAATTACCTGTAGTTGGTCCGTTACACCACACACTCGTGCTCAAGATCATGCTATCCGACACGTATATGCATTCTGATGTATCGAGATCATCTTATTAGACACGTGTTGATGTATCGAGATTAAAGTGGAAGTCAAGTCCGTTCTGCGCATAGGTTCTGCTCATAACAAGTGAGGGCCCTCTGATGTGAAAATTGCCTAAATTTTGCATGTTTCTGATTTTTTCTTTAACATAAACTCTTGTTCACATTAATTTAGAAGCGTAACGAACCTAAATAGTCTTAGATATTCAGACAGCACATCCTGATTTAATCTTAGAAAGTAAAAATAATTCCCTACTCTACATAGTCGAACTTACAGTCGGGTTTGAATCAAACTTGAAAAACAATGCTAATAGGAAAAAATTAAGGTATAAACAACTAATTATTGAACAGAAAAGAAATTATAATGATGTTAAATTTATTAATCTATCAATAAGTGCTTTAGGTGTTTTTGCTAAGGAATGTAGCCCGTATCTAGATATGCTAAATGACATAGGTTTTGACGAGAAACATAAGAAATACCTAATTAGGAGAATAATGGCTGTCTGTATCAGGTCTACGTATTATATATTTTGCTGTAGAAACAAGGAATGGATGAATCCACAGTTATTAAGTTACTAATCAGCACTCTCACAAATTTTGTAAATATAGTGTATACAATTTATCAGGATATATCTTTTTGCTCTTATATAAACATATCAGTATATATACATATATATTCCACGATTCAAGTAGCCAATTGTATGTTACCTTTTCCAAGTGAGATATGCAATTGTATGTATTGATTTTAAATGAATTAATAAAGTTTCCATTAATATTATTTTTTATTCACTATATCAGAAACGGCACAAATACAACTTTTTACTAATTGATGCACCATTTACTGCACGGGTAATTTTTCTTCGTATGTATTAGGCGATGATTATCTTTTTTACCAAGTGTCATATTTTATTCTCCAGATTAAGCCTAACACCATAACAGTGATATTAAAAAAGGCGCGGGACGGAGACTGGGCAGGAATCTCAGCAACGGAGGTACGAGAGAAAAAAGCAAGAGAGGAAAAGACGAGGTAAAAATATGATCAAATTTACTTGGATTATTGTAATTGTTGCTTTGTCAGTTTCAAAAGGTTTCGTAAAGGCCTGCTCACACGCTTCAATTTTGTCGGCTCCAATTCACTTTTGACGTGTAGAATGTTAGTCTGTTATTGATAAAGCAGAACCGCATTAGCTTTAGTTGATTTCAGTGGCGTAACTACTAATAAGGACCCAAACCGGCTGAAGCCGGGGGCCCTGGGGAAAGCGCTTCTCAGGGCGGCCCTTGGCTAATATCACTGAATCTCAAACACCCTAAAATATAGGCGAAAACAGGGGATTTTCAAAATGTGATATGGAAACGTTGTTAAATCAACTTTATTCCTCGTGTTATTTCCTTACAAAATGTATGAATTATTCATATTTTAAGCGGAGCTGCTTCTTTTGCAGTGTTCACCGGGGTATAACTGTAGTATTTTGAAAAGCTATAAGTAATTTCCAAAATTACGTTGCAGAATTTAGCGCACACAGTTTATGGATCTCGTGTTCGTGCATAAAAATCAATTCGAAGGGTTGGCACCGTAAAATGTGTTGGGGAGGATGTATAATTAGGGAGCCCTTCTTACTACTTCAGCCTGGGGGCCATTGTAGACGATTTACGCCGCTGGTTGATTTGTTGCATTCGGCAAGTCAACAGACCATTAAAGTAAACATCGATAAAATTGGATCGCTTGAACCACTGCACTTCTATTGGCTGTGCTTAAACAGACCTTAAGAATCTCGTGCGATTGAAAATGAATAGCACAAGTAGCTCATTTAACTGAAGTACTTGCAATCATAGACAGTTTC